TATGCAGCTACCTTTTTGAACAATTGTAATGGCCTCCATCGTGTTCATATTAAGCTGTTTTCAGAGCATGGGTTTGATCTGGGCAAAAGTGGCAAGCAGTCTCTGCTCTATAGCATTCAAAGTGGGGACAGATTTACTCCATAGTGCCAGGCAAAGCAGATGTTTTGTCGGTTTGACCGTAAGACTGTTTGGCACTCGACTTCAATGCACTTATTCAACATTTTGTTCAAGTAATGTATGGTGGTTCTTTCAAAGCGGTTGCGCCATTAATCGTCGGGCAAGCCGGAAAAATCGGCATTTTGGAAAACGGCGCCGAACGCAGTACACCGTTGTTAAGCCAGTTGTTAGAGTCGCGACAAAATTGGCGCCACCTCAGCCACATGCACCGATCGATCAGCCGTATTACCACCGTGATGTTCGACATTCTATGGACCAACCCGTTAAAACATCGACTTTACATCTAAAGAGACCCAATTTATGTTGTTGTTTTTTTCGTGGCGTTGAAACATCACCGATCGATCACTTACTCGCTGTCAACGAGTATTTTAAGCAAAACGACGGAGAGCGAACACGCTGTGTATGACCTGCCAGCCAGCAGCACTTCGTTCAGCTTTCGTTCATTCATTCGTGGCGTCCGCCACGAATGAATTCGAATGAATGAAATGCATTTGCCAGTGACAGCAGAATGCATCTTGCAGCCCTCTCTTGGAATAAGTGCAGCTTAGTAGAACAGATGTATCGCAGAGCGTTGACGAGTGAGTACGAACATATAGCGAATTTGGCACTGACAGTAACGATCAGAGCGGGTTTCTTCGAGTGTCAGGAACATTTGACTTGGAAAGCAGGCGTATGCTTACCGTTGTACCGTTGTAAGCCTCGGAAAGGTTCATGCTATCCTGTATCGCCGCGGCTAAGCGTCTTATCGGCATGGATGCAGGGCCATGTTGAAATGTACCTGTGTATGCTATGCATACGGTCGAATCAGATTTTAATTGGCGCTAACCCCATCCCCTTATGACGTCGCTTTTTAAAATGAGTAGCGTGGTCTCCTCAGCATAAGTGCAAACGTGCTTTCAACACATGGAAATGGACGGGGCGTGGACAGACGGAAGGGTGGCCAGTGTCCCTGCTCTCTGCTAATCAGAGGTAAGTGATTCACAAATGGGGCGAGGTGTCATTTAACGGTTAACCCGTTTGGATAAAGGCCTGAGTGGCAATCCACTTTCGCAAGCTATTTGAACGTCTTATTTAGGGTATATTGACAGCCATCTCCATTAGTTCATGTTTATTTAGACACTTGACAATAAAGTCAGAAGAGTTACCCATTAAAACGTAAAGGCATTGCTTTCGAAGGGGACAACAAAATGCTCGTTTCTCACGGTCTGGTTTCAGATTTTTTGTCCAGATAAATCGTAGAGCAAACCGGAGTGCAAAGGCCGGTTTCCCTTCCCACTTTTCCCACTTCCCACTTTCCCACCTTCCAAGTAACGGTACTCTCTGTTGCTGTGCGGCGCCAGCTGTTCCCGACGTTCTCTCCAGCCGTGAGCCAGACCACAAGAAGGTAGGAAAAGGAGCTCTCTGCCCTCGATCCAAATTAAAGGAAGACGCTTATACTTTACTTTCCAATGGCATACAGCTGGCCCCTAAACCTCTACAGTAACCAACTGTTTCATCAAATGGCACGTAGCCGAACCCGTCGCACCTTTCTCAGTCAAGGTTACCGGGCAGAATTAGGGGTGCCGATTTTTGCATACGATTGAAGGGCGGTGTAGCCGAGCGCCCGATGACTTACCATCCAGCCCCATTTGTTTCACGACGGGCTTAGTCCACTTCATTTTTGCGGAAAGTGCTTTATAGCGCGGCGAACGCCGTCGGCTCGTGTAAATGTCACCATGACACGGGCGGCCTGCTTTAGGCAAAGTCCAAATATTTTTATTTGGATTTCACTTTATTTAGCTTTAAGGTGTAGCAAATAGTGACCTCATAGCAGAAAACCTTAGTAAAGGTAGCTCAGGTTCTTTTCGAAGATGACAGATGTGTCTTCTTTTGCCCGACTATGGACAGCTAGACGGGCTGGTCAGGCTAACCTCTGTGGACCTGCCCTCGTGCGACACCAATTGACCTGTCAAATGTGCAACATCTAGAGACATTTGTCCTACGGTGGGCCAAATCTGACTTTCCTGCTCCCAATGTTGGCATTTAAACGCAGATCACAGGCGGAGGGCTGTCCTAAAGTGTACAGAGTGCCAAGCCGCCTGGTAATCAAAGTTTCTAATGAATCTAACCAATCAGAATCCCTGTTTCACCTGCCAAACACTGGAACGTTTGATAACAACGCGAACCCGTCCGCCAGCCGTCGGGTTTTGAATTGTTACTCGGTCGCCGTGCCTACCGATAGGAGGCAATCAGAACAACGTTTACTTGACTGCACAGACCGTAATTCAGTCGCTTTCGTATGCTGACGAACGACGCAACACGAACGGTAACTGGGGCGGCCAAATCGAGCGTCATCGGCACGGGCCAATCATCGCCCATCGTAGCGCAATAGAATGCATTCCAAGTGCCCGTCGCGATGAGACGATATTTACACGTTTAATTCTATGTCATCTGACCGGTCTGGCACACAACCCAACGTCACCATTTCCAAAAGCCCCATTAAACGTCGGTTCTGACGCATATGCTAGCAAAGAAAGGTGTCAGCAATCGCCACGAGGCTGACAAAAATTCCTTAAAAAAACGCTGCTATTACGATACCCGTAGGCCCGCCACAACCCGCCCTTCAGCACACGGCCGACCGCAGGGTCGATATTTTAATAGCTGTCAGCGTAAAAACTCGGAACACACAATACCTTATACTGCTGCGCTCTGCCTATAGTTCCTCAACAGCGAACGCAACAAAATCACACCCCGGACAATGAATGGTCAGCGCTTCAACAGATCAGCGCAATGTCACGGGCAGCCCGCCCGGTCAAGGTCACCGACCCGTGACCCGCGGTGCGACGACGGCGTCGGTCTGACGACCGGACGGCAGGGCTTCGCAGGTCGTGTGGGACGGCGGGTAGCACGGCGGGGCGACGCATAGTGTACCGTGCAGTTGCTCCTGCTCGGCTCGGTGCTTGTTTATAGCTCCACGACACGCGGCGGCGTCGTGAATGAACGGGCTGGTAGCTATGACGGCAAACACGCACGGAACACACAGCAGTTACAGCAGTTTACGCAACGGAAGCGGGGGCCCCAACAGATCGTGTACGTTGATAGCGGTGATGATTTGGGCTTTCGGGCGCTTCGATTGCAGGTGGCCGTATTGTTGGATTAGACCCGCGTCCGGTTCGATACACACAACGGTCAAAGGGGCGGGAAGGCCCGGAGAGTGACGGAGCGGGCGAGTTTTTCACTGCAGCGGTAGGCGCAAGCCCGTGACAGTGCAGGCGGCGAAACGCAAGGGAGCTATCCCGTCCCATCGGACCACACTTTGATGTGGGGCGCGGACACTTTAAAACGGAAAAAGCTCACATGACAATGCTTCCCAGTTTTAACTTTATATACCTAAAGTTTTCCAGGATAAAATCCGAAGGTTCTAAATTTCGTAACGTCGATAGTTCGTGACGTAAAATGTTCGTATATGATAGCGTTCGTATGATAAGCTCGCGGGGAAGAAAATCATTACGAAAATGTTCCTAGAAAACCCGTGTGGAAAAAGACGCACGCAAATGTTCGTGCGCAAATGCTTGTGCATAAATGCTCATCAGGGATTAAGTTTGTTTAAAAGTTCGTTTATCCCCCACTCTGACGAATCTGTCGACGCTTCCCGGGCGCGTACCTGACGCCATCTGACGGCCGCGGCAGGAGTCAGCTGGCTAGTGGAACACGGCGGGCCTGCGCGCGACACCGCCCGAACCACGCTCGTCCCGGGCGCGAACCTGACGCCATCTGGCGGCGGCGGCAGGAGTCAGCTGGATACCGATACCGCCCGAACCACGCTCGTCCATTTAGTGATCAGAGTTCAGAGAGAAGGATGTACCCAACGTACCAACTTTGATTAGTGCTTTATTTTCATCCGGCCCAGCACTGTCCGAGACTATTATTACCACTAATCTGCACGCCCGATGGAGCTGAAAACTGCGCGGTCGACGGCTGCACCTTAAATTATCCCACGAGGACTAAATTTCAGTGAAATCTGAGAGCTGGCGGTGCATGATTTGGGTCCCGGGTGATCGACTTAGCTTCGATCCCCGTCCCTCTACCACCGAAATGTCCGGCATACAATTTGTTAGCATACGGTCAATATTGCCGAGCTTTTACGTGCGTACTTTTATTAAGCGAACTTTGTCGGTCATTCACACTTGCCTACATACCATTGTTTTGACAAACAAATGCGTACGCAATTTATGCGTCCGACCTTTTTCCGTGCTAACTTTTTCAACATGAGCATTATACACGGAGCTTTAAACCAAACGAACATCTTGGTACTATCTTAAGTGTTTCTGCCAGGCAATCTTTACACATAACGTACATTGGTTTACGAACAATTCCGTACGTACTTCCCCCCCCCCATGACTTTTGCTCCGAAATCCGAAATCCCCAGCCCCCCTGTATACTAGTCCTGTCCAGAGGGCATTTTGGGGTGGCTCAGTGATGCGACGTGATGACTGCACTAAAACCCTAACAAAAAGTTTCACTTGCTTGGCAAAATGCTGCCCAGCTGACTTTGTGAAATGCTACGTGCTGTGTCGATGCAAAATGTGTGCAAAGTGCACGCACTGATGCAACTGTGCGTTTCCATGGAGCACAACGGTTCACACTGAACCCAGCCCCCCAGACACGCTGGGAATGGGAGCGGCAAGCCACCACGGCTGGACGAACGGCATGCAAAACGCTGCTCAAAAGATGCCTTCATGTACCTTTCGGCCCCGTCAGCAATTATCTGGACTGTGCGTCGGCACCACGCAGTTCGAGTTCACGCGGCCGCATCCCGACTTCCGCTGCTGCCGACACCTTCGTCCACGCCAGACCGTTTTATATTGCTGTATTTCCTAACGTTTTCCCATCATATTTACAGTGAGGCAAGAAATACAGAAACTATCAGACAAATGTCGAGCACAGTTTGAGAATAAAAGCATCGCAGAGGGCTTTTGCTGCGGGGATTTGATACGCACCGGTACAAAAGCGAGGACTACCATACGCACGTCACGGGGGCTGCTGGCTGCCCAGCAGAGCGACGTCCCAACCGAGCGTGTCAGACGGCTACCAGACAGTTACCAGACGATAGCTGGACCGAGACGGGCGGGCGCCGGTCTCGGGCGGCTCGGCGGCCGGCTGCCGGTCGGGCGCGCGGCTCAGCGGCGCTCCGTCGGCGGTCGTCTATCAGGGCCGCGACCCATCCCGCCGGTCGTGCCGGCCGCCGCGGCGCCGCCCTCCACACCACGGGAAGACCAGCCGCGCCAGGCGCGCGCACGCATCACTCCCGGCACAGTCAAATCCATAAAGCATTAAACAAAACGAGATGAGAGCGGATACAAAATGGCGACTGGGCAGCCGCAGCGGGCAGGCCTTTCCTGTAGCAGCACGATACCGGGAGAACGGGCGGGCAGACAGGCTCCACGGTTTCGATTAACACCGTTCCGATTAAAACCGCCGGGGCCCTTCGGCTGACGCCGCCGTACGAAGGGATCGACTGAGCTCGCCAGTGTTACAAACTACATCTACAGCACGCCCACATACAACTGTTAGCAGTCGACCGGCGCGGCGACACGCACGCAGGCGCGCGCGTGCACACGCGCAAAAACGTCTCGCTTGCACGCGCACGTGTAAAACGGGTTTTCTATGTTTGGGTTCCAAACTGTAACAAAATAATATTCGCAACACAAAGAGTGTCCGCCGGCCGGGCTCCGATCGACCTGCCGCCTGGCGGCCTTCCGTGGCGTGGCCGGCGACCGCGCGGCCGGGAGCGCCGCGAAAATCGGATAAACAAGGTCCTACCGCGACCGGCGCCGCGCAACTACCAGCATGCTGAGAGATTACATGCCGCTGCGAGCCGGGGGCCGCGCGCGCCGCGTCCAGGCGGCAGCGGCCGTCACTGCGCCCAGCACGGCCGCCATCTTGTGCTGCCACGCCGAGCGCGCCGCATGCCGCCGCTAAGCTCGCGGCCGCAAGCCGTCACAGTGCGGGCGCGACGGGAGGCGCGTCCGCCGCGGCGCCCGCGCGCGAGCGGTGCGGCGGGCGGCCGGCTCACCAGTTGGCCATGCCTGGCTTGTTCAGTGTCATAAAGTAGATCTGGCAGGCGGAGCCGCCCTTGGCCGACGAGAAGAACACCTGCCGGAGCAGCGGCGTGAGCGGAGGGCGCTGGAGCGTGGGCCAGGCCTCGCACCGGCGCAGGCAGCGGACGGACGACAGACGGCAGCGAGGCGTCGCGACGGTGTCACAGACCCCGTTCGTGCAGCAAACGAATGAGCACGGCGCTTACAGGCAATAGCGGCTGTCATCGGGACGGCCCGTGCCTACGGTCGCAGCAGGGGCGGCTGGGTGGGGCGAAGACCCGGACCCGCAGCACCAGCCAAGTTTTGGTCCTCCTTACCGCACGGGTCACAGGCCCCCAGCCAAATACGCTCGGTCCCGCCGAGTGCCGCGCTGGACCCACACGTCCCTGATCCGAACACGTGTCTGGCAGGATTGCCTGGGGCTCATTGCAGGCTGTCATGTTCACCGGGTCAAAACCATCACGGACCACTGGGGCCGTTGCAGTACCTCCTACTACGAGTCCCGCTACGACAGGCCCTCACCTATATGGAACTCGAGACAAGCCAGACGAGAACCAACCTCCTCTTCCAACCGGAAGAACCAACCTCTTCTCCCCCCCCCCTATCCATCTTCCTCGACCCCGGCGCTCCAAGGTCGCCGACCTACCTTGTCGTTTCTCTCGCAGAGGAACTTGAGCTTCTGCGCCTTTTTGTGCATAAACACGCCGTCCAGATGTCCCGTTTCGACGGAGCGAATCTCGATGGCCTTGTTGCCCCAGCCCATGATCTGGCCGGTGCCGATGTACGCCACGGACGTCGGCATCTCGCCCCACTGCACGATGATGTTCTTGGAGACCTGTCGACGCGACACCGGTGACGTCGGGGCTGACCGGGCGGCGACGGAGCACGCGTCGCGACGCCCACACTCGGGGCCGACCGCAGCGCCATCCCGCGGCGAGAGCGGCCGGCGGGAGCGTACGCGGCCGCTCAGAACCCGACCGGCGGCGAGGCGGCGGAGACGGGCCATGTGGAGCCGGCTCCCGGCTGAGCGGCGCCGCCCACCGTCCGTGGCGGGTGTCCGACGGCCACAGCGCGGGGTACGGGTGCCCACCGCCCACCTCTCCCCGCACCCAGTCACAGCACGGGCGGTGCAACACGGCAGCGCAACTGCGGCCAATCGTCCTTAAAGCAGACACTGCATACGACGCTTTCGCCGTTACGAGTGAGAGCTTTCTCTCACCTTGCCGTTGGTGTTGACGTAGACGCCCTCGTTGTCATAGCAGAGCAGCAACTGGTTGCCGTTCGTGTTGGGAAGAGTGACGATCGTGTGGGGCACGATCGGACCCTGCGCCTGCAGGGGGCGGGGCACAGCGATGTCACGACGGGTCACAGCCGCTTCCCTCCCAACACCACAGCGGCGGCGGCCCCGACCCGGCGCCGCCGCCGCTGCCGCCGCCGCCGCCTCCGGCCGCACGCAGCCCTCAGCATCGACCTCAACACATCCCTGAACATCAGGGCTCGCCGCCAGCTCGTGTCCGCGGCGAACACAACAAACGGAACATCGTGCGTGCCATGTACGGCATTCTCCAACATCTCGGCCCAGTGTCCCCTCGCGCGGCAGCCGGCAGCGAGTGCACGGAGGACACGTGCCGCGACAGACGGCGACACTCCGGCGCCGGCGAACGCGGCCCGGCCCGCCGCCGCGCCCCCCCAGCCACTCACGTGCTTCGGCAGGTAGATGTCGTACACGGAGGCCGAGTCGAGGTCGACGGCGTGGAAGCCGTCGCAGGAGCCGTAGATGACCTTCAGCCGGGTGTTGTCCTCGACGGTGAGGTCGACCAGAAGCGGCCGGTGCGCCAGCTCGCCGAAGCTCTGCCGGCGGCGGCGCGGCCGTCAGCGTGCCAGCAGGGCAGACGCGCCCACCGGCAGCCGCGCTGATTTCATCGTATACTAGGTCCTTCACAATGTGTGCTACTCTAACTGTTCCCTGGCAACTTGCGGTATGGTTGTTAGTTTTTTCGGAAATGCTGAAAACACGAAATCGAACAAATGCAAGCTCACTCCATCAACCGGGCTGATGGCAGGCACAGCGCTTGCGTCGTCAGCCCGCGACCTCGTAGACCAAAGCGTTTGCAACCATGCCTTAAAAGAAGCTTGCTCTGCATAATCGTACCCTACATAACTTACGGCAATGACCCCGAACAAAAAGTCGTCTGTAATCCGAAATCAAGAAAAACTTGCTATTCTGGGTAACTGTGCCCTGCTGAACAATGCGCATTAACACAAATGTCAGTCAACTGTCTTCAACAAGTGCCTGTTAGCCATGCGCCTACCTTGAAGGCCATGAACTTGTGATAGGGCTTGGGCGCCCAGGCGTATATTTCGATACTCTCTCGCAGTGCGATGACGAGAAACTTGATCCGCTCGAACTTGACAATCTTGAAGTGCACGGCGCCGTTGAGGTCGCCCACGTTGATCCAGCCGTTCCTTCTCTCCACCTGCTGCTGTGGTCACAGAACATCAGACGTCAGAGCCCCATCACGGCGGCAGGTGACTGGATGGCGCTATCACGTGTCCGGCGGCGCGGCGCGGTCCGCCCTAGAGGCGGCACCGGCGCCGGTCTGGTGGGATCGGACCAGCCAGCTGCGGTGGCCACCAGCGCGGCTACCAGGTGGCCACCAGCGCGGCTACCTGCAGCGCGCTGGCTGGTGCGGATACTCCGACACATGGCTGGTGCAGTATTAACCCTCCCCTCCCCACCCTTTAGACCGTGAATCAAGCAGGTCGCAGCAGCAGCGGTACAACGGGCCAGTCTGGCTCCAAGGACGCCGACCATCAGCAGCAGTATAATAGGCCAGCCTGGCTCCAAGGGCGCCGAGCAACAGCATAACAGGCCAGCCTGGCTCCAAGGACGCCAAGCATCAGCAACAGCATAACAGGCCAGCTTGGCTCCAAGGGCGCCGAGCAACAGCATAACAGGCCAGCCTGGCTCCAAGGGCGCCGGGCAACAACATAATGGGCCAGCCTGGCTCCAAGGACGTCGAGCATCAGCAACAGCATAACAGGCCAGCCTGGCTCCAAGGGCGCCGAGCAACAACCACGGCATAACGGGCCAGCCTGGCTTCCAGTGCGCCGAGCGTCGCGGCGGGGCGACCGCGTCTCACCGACTCCGACTTCAGGATCTTGCTCTTGAGCCAGCTCAGGTAGTAGACGCGTACGCGGTTCTTCTTGCCGCTGATCGTGACCAGTATGTTTTGACCCTCCAGCACCTGGAACGTGCGTCGTCTGGCTAACGCACGCGTCCCGATGGCACACACACACACACACACAACAGAAGCTGCGGCTCCCAAACAGCTGCAATGAACACGTCAGCATCCCCGCGCCGACAAGGATCCGCACCGGACAATCCGGGGAGCGCGCGACGCACCGGCCCCCAGCGACGACTTGTGGCGGGGCTGCGCCGCGCTCGCGCCTCCACGGGGCACACCTTGTGGGGACGGGCTCCGGCAGGCACACCGATCGTGTTCACCGCATCGCCTGTCAGTGTGCGTGTGCCTGCACGATCACGTCAGCAGGGGAGCGAGACAGCCTCCACCCGACGCCGCGGCGGTGACAGCACGTCACGCAGGGGATACGCAACAACGCACAACAACAACGCAGGCGAGCTCCCGCCGCCGTCCAGCAGCGCCCGACACCGGACCACGAGCCGGAGGCCGTTGGCGTCGCGCACCGACGGCACCTCACCTCCATCTGCTGGAAGCGGCGCCGAGAGATGAGCTGGTACACCTTGCCCTGGCCCGAGCGGTCCAGCAGCATGAGGCCGTTCTCGGTGCCGATGAGCAGGTTCACGCCTGCGGACGGGGCCAGTCAGAGCGGGAGACGCTCGCGCGGGCGGACGTGCTCGAACCACGCACGAGTGGGCGGGAGTCGCCGGCAACGTGTCCACAGCTCAGCAAGCTGGTCTCAGCCATGCGGATTCTGAGGAAACACAACCCACATTCATCGGGCCCTGCGGTGAAATCGGCGCCACTGAACCGCTCCCCACTCACGCCCACTCCGCGAACCCACCCACGACAGGCGCGTCCTACCCCACATCTCCGGCGCCGCCCCTCCCCCCTCTCCCCCCCCCTCCCCGCCCAGTGGCAGCACTCACCCCAGAGTGCGGCGCACAGGATCTCCGAGTTGAACCTCTTCTTGTACTTGCGGATCTCGGGCGTGTCCGTGGAGCTGACCTCGTGGCCCGTGGGCGTCACGTTCACGTTGATGTGGCTCTCGCGCCGGCTGCTGCCGCCGGCGCCGAAGCCGAACGTCAGGAACGACTTCTGCTTGTGCTGCAATTGGAGCGGCGACTGAGCCGGCTGGCCCACAGCCGAGCGGTACTGAAACGGACCACGCCAACGGCCGGGGTCAGCATCTCACGGCCACGTCTGCTATGGTGGCCGAACATGGTGCTTTGTGGAGGACAGTGGTAGGCTTCCGACGACCATCTGACGCTTTCGTACGGGTATAAAACAGAAGTGCTTTGCACGCGAAAGTAAACACCTATCGCTCGACAAAGTTACTGCACTACAGTGGTGAAAATAATGCAAATGAAGCTTTGAAGCTCTTCTGATGAAATCACCATATAGGACGAGACTCACTTTGTCAGATAAATGATAAAGAGCTGGGCTCCAGCGCCACAAAGCACTCACTACAGCGACAAACTGTCATGCAAGACCACGTAGTAGCCACTCCCAAACCCGAGCGGCTGCCAGGCAGTGACCCCACACCTTCCGCGCCATCGTCTGTACCGAGAGCGCAGACCCGCATGTGTAAGCAGAAAGCCACAAAGGAGCGCGACGCAAACCCGGCCGCAAAACAGGCATGCCTTCCCGAATTTCATGACAATTTTACATCACGGAACAGACCCACGATCCCAGGCGGTGTGAACGAGGCCGAGGGGACTGAATTTTGCCGCATCCAGGAAAGGAGAGGTCATTATGCCGTGCTGGGACTTGGCGCCGTGTGCTGTTAGGAAGGGCAGGAATACTGCGGCGGCCGCGAATCGGCACAGGGAAAGACCCGTCGACACGCTGGCGCGGCTCAACGGAAAGCAATCAAACCCCGATGCCCGGAGGAAGCCCGTGCGGAGCCGGCAAGGGCACACCGCACACAACAGGCGGCGTAATTGAGGCCAGGATGCGGTGCCCCCGACGGCCCGGATGCGGCAGTGTTTTCCCGACCCGGGCACACGCTCGTGTGACTGGCGGCATGCCGCGGCCGTGCGAGGCCGTGCCCCCGCCCCGGCACGGGCGCCGCTGCGGCTCTGCGCACCGGCGGCGGCGACTGTACTCACGGGGTGTGCGGGCCGACGGCGCAGCAGGCGCCGCGCGGGTTAGTCGACACGCGCCACCCCATTATCATGCAACGAAACAGACAGCGTTAGTGAAACACGCCGGGCGCGCGGCCGGCGCGGGGCGGCGCGCTGCCGGCCGCCCCGCGCGCCGGCGTCGGCCAACCGCGCCGCTCACAGGGGCGCCGCACACGCGCAGCAGGGGGGGGGGGGCATTTTTACTCGGGGATGGAGGCCGCGACGACTACATGGTGGCGCCACGCCCACATACAGAGACGTGGCCCGTCAACGCCAGAGCTCAAACTGCGGAATACGTCACGACGGCAGCCGGCCGCCGGCACTGGCGACATGTTAGCCGGGGCTCACTGGGCAAGCAGACGACCTGCCGTCACCCTCGCCGGGGCCAGAGCGGGGCCGCCTGGCGCCGAGCTCCGGCGGCCCCCGCCGGCCGTGGCTGGCCCGGGCTGACCACAAGCCCATCAGCACACAAGCGCCGCCAAGCCAAGCGACAGTCCCGGCGCGCTCCGTCCTGTCTGCACGGACGGCGCGCGACGCTGGCCGCGGTCGGCGCCGGCGGCGGCCGTCCCCGGACGCCCGCAGCGCAGCCCGCTCGCCGGCCCCCTCCCGGGCGTATTAGTGGTCCCTCGGCGGCGGGGCGACATTCCGACTGGCTACACCGCTACGGCTACGGGCGGCCCTATGTACAGGCGCCGGCGCCGGCGCCGGGGCGGGCCGTACGCACCTCCTCCGACGTCGACTTGTCTAGGTGGCGGCCGTTGCCCGGGCTGGAGCTGGTCTGTAACGGAACGACATGCGGGCTCATGGCGTGCACAGCGCCGGGCGCCGGGCGGCACGTGACCACGCCGTAGCCGGAGGCGACACGGGACGCGGCAGCCTCGCCGGCGGGCGGGACGGGCGCGTCTTTGAAGGGATTTCGCACAGTTTGTACAGAATGCTGCGCATCTCATCGTGCGGGCGTTTCGGTAAGAAAGGGTGACCCAACACGCACTCCCGCATTTCAAGAGCACAGCCCAGCCTCCCTTGAAGCTGAAACAGTCCGCAATCACACGGGTTCAATCAGCAGATTGTCTGCTTGGGAATAGCGTCTGTTTCAACCGAGAGAGATCAGCTGCCATCGAGCGGCCCAGCGTCACTCGATCCGACCCTTCCCGGCAGCCACCGGCGGCGCCAGCGCGCCCAGCCGGGAGGCGGGCACCCACCTGCGGCAGCAGGTCGGGCAGCACGGTGCTGGTGCGCGAGCCGGGCGTGCCCACCGGGCCCGGAGACGAGTCGGCGTGCCGGTGGCGCTGCTCCTCGCGGTTCTGCCGGCATGTCACGTGGCGTCAGGTCGGGCCGGGGCAGGTGGGCGCCGTAGCCGGGGGCGGGCGGCGCACGCGCGGCAGCCTCGGTGGCGGGTGTACCGCGGCGGTGCACGGGTTCACCCGGTGCGGGCCGCTCCAGGATCCAGACGCGAGGGTGCGGTGTCACGCGCGGCACGATCACATGCAGGTCGTCACGTCGGCGAAGCACGCGCTCAGCATGTCAACAACGCGCCTCAGTGCGCCCGACAAAACACGGGTCAGTTTGCCGTCAGACATGTCACCAAACATCACCCAAGCGCAAAAACACACCATATTTACGCTTACCCAAGCCACAGACACGCAAACGGGCGCAGCGATTGCTCACACAGTCTGTTACTACCCCAGGCACTCCACTTCACCTTCCCAGCAACACCGCGGGCACTCCGCGACGGCGGACCGCACAGCACACTGCAGCACCCGCCAGCAAGCCCGCTGAGTCTGCAGCAGGAAACAGGTCCCCGGCGCCGCCTCTCTCCCTCGCTCGCGCCGCGGTGCAGCCGCCGTCTCGAACACGCAGGCGTGTTAGTGCATGCGAGTGCACGAGAGCGCGATAACTACACACACACACACACACACAGACGGTCGGTCAGCCCGGGTCAGCGCTGTCCACATGCCACACGGCGGCGGACCGGCCGCCGGCGCCCGCATGCAGCCCATGCGGCGGCGGCGGCCGGCCGGTTAGTGGCGGGCCGTCGGCGGCGGCCGGGCGGGCGGCGGCCGCTGCGGCGCGGCTGTACCTCGAACGGCGCCGGCTCCGAGCACGACTTGGTCAGCGCGCGGGGCGCGCGCGCGCCGCCCAGCTCGAGGTCGGTCTTCTCGCGGCGGCGCACCCACTGGCGGAGGCGGCCGGCCGTGCCCGGCTCGGGCGCCTCGAGCGCCCGGCGCGGCGGCGGCGGGTGGGGCCGGCCGCGCGCCGCCGCCGCCGCCGCCAGCGCCGACTCCGACTCGAGCCGGCGATGCTGGCGCGGCCGGCCGCCCGGCTCGCCCCCCGCCGCCGCCGCCGCCGCCGCCGGGAAGAAGCGCTTCATGTCCCAGTCGCGCAGCAGTTGCTCGTGCTCGGAGAAGCGCTGCTGTCGGGGGAGCGTGGCCCGTCACCACCCGCCACCGGGGCATGGAGTGGGCTCGTGGAACCGCCGCCACCGGAAGGCCACGGAACGGGGAGATGGGAGAGAGCGTTGGGGGGGGGGGGGGGAGGGGGCGACGGAGGGGAGGAGGCAGACGTCTAATGAACTGCCGGTTTGAAGTGTCAGAGGGGTGTGGTCGAAGAGGACCCGACGGAAAAGTGTGAGCCACCACCAGCAAAACCAACTCCCGCCACCAAACAGAGCAAAACAAGGCGCAAGGCACGCCCCAGAAGAGACGGTAACACAAACAAACCGATTTTTCAAGCTACGAACGTAAATATCGTGCGAGGGCGAACAAAACGGGCAACGCTGCAGGCCTGTGAAGACTCATAGCAGGCAGAGAATGTACGGCGTCGATGACGGGCGTGCAAGCGGTCTCCGTCGGGATATACCCGCAGGACTCGCCAGTAACAGAGCTCCGAGGCGGCCGACGCCCGGATAACCGAGTCGGCGGCCGAGGAGCATCGGCTCCGCCTCTCCCCAGCCGGGAGCTTTGGATTCGAGCCCTCTTCGTGAGAGCGGCATCGCGTCAGCGGTCTCGCGCTTCGTGGCACTGCCGGAGCCGCGCCGTTCGGTCGCGTCCAGCCGTCTTCAGAGTGCCAAGCCCGCCAGTTCTGGCGCTGCGTCGCTGCCTGTCCGGCGCGCCACCGCCGCCCCGGCCAGACCCGGCGCTACCGGCGCAGCCGTGCGCGCCGTCGTCGCCGGACGGGCCGACAAGCCGCAAGCACAGAACAGCCGCACAGACGGGCGGACAGGAGCTCACAGACAGGCAGTCACAGCGCACAGACGCAGACAGACAAACATCCACAAACGGGAGACCACAGACGGGCAGACCCACTCGGGACTCGTCGCCAGGCAGACCCGGATCCCGGCCACGCGGACCGGGACCCCTGACCGGCGGACCGGCCCGTGCCGACGGACGGTCCGCCGGGTGGCGGCCGGTCGGCGGCCGCCACCCGACCCTACTCACCCGACGCATCACCAGCGTGCCGTCGCCGTCCTCGTCGGGCGTCGGCGGCAGCGGCCGGTTCGGCGGCTGGCTGGGCGGCTTGCGCACGGGCGGCTCACCCGGCTCGCGGTCGGTGCTCTGCCACTGGGCGCTGCCGACGGGCGGGGCGCGTCAGGGACGAGCTCGCAGCCGCCGCTGGCCAGGCGCGCCGGCCACCACCGGACAACGCTCAACAGGTGTAGTTTAAGTGTCACGATGCGGTGGCAAGGAAACAGACGAACTGCGTCACAAAACAACTCCAAAATCAGTTACCCTACACCAACTGAATCCATAACCGGCTCAGTCGTAGCTCGAGTGAACGTTGCACGCCACGTGGGTCACAGCGGGCGCGCAAGCTGCCCCAGTCCTGCCGCGGACACCAGGGCTTCACAGTGGCGCTGGCACACACCCCACCAGACACACGGCCAGAGCCCAGTGCGCCCCGCCCCGTCCCCGCGGTCCCGCGCCGCCCGTCCCCACACTGACAGCGGCTTGGGCGAGTCGGACGCGAGCAGCGTGCCGTCGTTGCGCGGCGGCCCCGGCTCCTCCTCGTCGCTGCTGTCCTCCTGCCGGTCACGCCGTCACGCCGGGGTCATGCGCAACGCGGGGACGGGCCGGCGGCTCGTCACACAGGTCAGACAACGCCGCTCGGTCGTTCCTAACAGCGGCTGTGAGTCGCACGAGGGCGTCAAGACGCGTCAACAGTCCCAGTTCGGATGGAGCGGGGACATTTGTCCGGGCAGCCATGACGTGTCAGCTCACATCACATGTAAGCGGACAGAGAGGCAGCTGGGAAGTGACATAGAGCAACGACATTGCCAACCTTTTCGCATCAAGTGGAATCTCTGAGGACCTACCAAGCCCCACGAGGCAAATACTACCTGAAGTCGCAAAGGCTGTCTGCATATCGAGCAAAACAACCACTCACCGTCGCGGTCCACCTCCTAGCTCGCCGACCATAAGCACGTCACCGAGCTCAGCGTGATTAGGACAACAGGCCGCGTCCACAGACCGGGAGCGCTCACCTGGACTGGAGCATGGTTGTTGCCGTTGGCCGTGGCTGAGGCTCGGGAGGAGGCGGCCGCCCCTAGTCCACCCAGCTCCTTCAGCTGGGCGGCGAACACGTCCAGGTCCTGGTCGCGGAGGAGGCGTGGGAACTGTGACGTCACGGCAGCACACGGCCCGCTTCACGTCCTCACTGACATTGCGTGATGATGCTGACAGGTGTTTTAACTTGAGCGGCGGATCTACTCGTCCAGCAAACATCTCCCCCTCCCCAAAAGGAGCCCGCATCAGTTGGAAATGAAGGCCAGCGCATACGCAATCACCTGTGACGAATAGCCAACCAACATATTGAGGGTTTTTTAAATATCTTGACAATCCATGAAACCGCTAATCGGCAAAAATGTACTGAGACTGTCGGTTGACGTGGCCCGGCTAACAGCTGGCTGGAGTTCCACGTCACGATCTCGGGCGGCGACAGCCATGAGTATGAGCCCACATCACTGACCTGCGGTCGTCTGGGCGCCGGCTGAAAACAAGGTCAGCGCGTTAGCGACGCGTTCTGTCCATGTTGGCATACCTAAGCTACGTCGTGACTGCAGGTAACTCGGTATCGAGAGCATCGCTAGACAAACACGCAGTCGCGCCCGGACTGGGTTCGATGGCCTGGGGGGGGGGGGGGGGGGGGCAACGGCGTCCTCCATGCTGCAGCGCCAGCCGACTGGGTTCGACGGGCTGGGGGCAACGGCGCCCTCCATGCTGCAGCGCCAGCCGCACGACTCGACACAGCGCTCCACACCAACATCCCGGACACCACAACAGCGTTCTTTAAGTCAACGGCCACCACTGGCACGGTGTTTGTCGCAGCAAGCAGCGGTGCCCACGAGGCCGCCCGCGCACCGCGCCCAAGTCTGCGGCTACTTGCCGGGCCTCGCCGCACCCGCTGGTCGGCACTCACCTCCGGCTTGCGCGGCGGCGGCTTGAACTGCTGCGCGGAGCGCGGCGCCGGCTGCTGCGGCGGCGGCCGCTCGTCGCGCGGCGGCGGCGGCAGCGGCCGGCTCGGTGGCGGCGGCTGCTCCGGGTAGCGCGCCGGCAGCGGCGGCCGCGCCGGCGGGCCCGGCTCGGGCGGCTCCTCGCGCTCGCGCTCGCGCCGCCGCCGCTCGCGCTCCTCGCCGGCGGCGGCGGCGCGCCCCTCCTGGATCTGCTGGAAGTTCTTGCGCAGCGTGTTCTCGCCGGGCGCCTGTACGATGGAGGACGGCTCGCCGGCCGTGGCCGTCTCCTCTTCCTCCTCGTTCTCGCTGCCCGAGTAGTTGAAGCTCTCCTCGCGGTCTGCGACCGGACGCGGCCGCGTCAGCACGTGCAGGGGCAAGTTCGGCCATCGGTGAGGAATGATGATGATGCGCATAACCCCCTCCCCCCTCCCGAAGGGGACACTAACTGCAGCCGCTGGTAGGTGTGATTGTCACGTCTCTCCAACATCACCAGCCCGTCATCCGATCTGATTCGCTGGAGCGTGTTGTTCGTCACCATCTGCATCTTCCTCTCAAGCTGTCAAACTACCTCCGTTTACAGGACTTGCAAACAGGCAGGGAGGCATTATCCGACAGCCTACGCACACGCACCAACCTCACAACCACGACACCGACCTCAACCTCTGCAAGCCGCCAGCCCACCAAAACGCCAGTTTCCACGTCACCGACGCAACGCAATCAAACCTGACGAAGCGCCCGCGCCACCAGCGCCGCAGCGGGTGCGAGCGCGTCACGGGTCGCCCCGGGCCTACCTCGCTGAGCCTTGTGCTTCTTCATGCGATCGATGTGGTCCTTGAGCTGGATGCGCACCTGGCGCTCGGTCGGCTGGTCCTTGATGAACGGGTGCTTCAGCAGCTGGTCCGTGTACGCCCGCTGGTGGTAGTCCTGCCGGCCGCGCGAGTCAACACGTGCCGGTCAGTGCCGTCGACTCCCAGCGACACGCGCGCGACACGGGTGTGTGGCGCCACCATTGGCAGTCGGAGGAGGCGGGAATCTAAACCCGCGGGTGGTTAGGCACCACTGCGGGTCATGGTCAACGTCAAACGAACAAGCGAGCACAAGAGCACGCATATCAGCGAGAAAAAAACAGGCGCCAATGTGACAGACAACGTCGGCACCAGAGACAGTCGGCACATTTCTGACTTCTCAAATGTATTCTGGGGCGTGGCACACGAGCGACCTTGAAAAGAAATCAAGACCGCAGCATTTGGCCTCAGCGGACACTGCGTCGCGGACAGGCACGGACAGACATCACCAAACGCTGTACATCAGAGGCATCAAGCACGGTGTATACACCCTCATGGGCCACGCAACACCAGTCAGCATCTCTGGGAAAGTAGACGCTTTCTCCGTAACGCGACGGCCAGCTCCGCGCCGCCTCACCCACCTTGATCAGCGTCGTCTCGATGAAGCTGTGGAACTTCTTGCTCCACTTTCTTGGTCTTGAGCCGCGGCGGCGGGTTGCGCGGGATCAGGAAGAGCGCGCGCATCGGGTGCATGTCGGAGAGCGGCGGCTGCGACTCGGCCATCTCCAGCGCCGTGATGCCCAGCGACCACAGGTCCGAGCGGTTGTCGTACGTCGCCTCGGGGTTCTCGTCGCAGGCGATCACCTCGGGCGCCATCCAGTAGGGCGTGCCGATGAAGGTGTTGCGCCGGCCGATGGTGCGGTCCAGCTGGGCGCTCACACCGAAGTCCACTGCGGCGCCGCGGGGGCACGCGGTCAGACGGCCGGACAGCGCACACGCACGGGGCGGAGCACGGCTGGGCAGCGAGGGGGCGACAGCGCGCCCGAGGCAACTGTGAGACGCGGTGGGCGGCCAAGCCCAGCCCGACAGGCCGACAAGAGCCCCGTGGCGACACCGACAACAGACAGTGTCCGCCGCCGGGGTCGCCAGCGGCGCCGGGGTGAACGCGTCGGCTGCAGTGGCACCCTCGAGCGAGTCGGCGTCGAGCATGGCTGCCGGTTTGTGCTCAAGCTCAGACACTGGCGGCCAGCCCCGACTGCGACGGTCCGGCCGTTGCCGCGGCCGTTCAGCGCCCTGCCACGGCAGTGCCGTGCCCCCACCGACAGCCCCGCAGCTCGGCGGCCGGCCACTCACCCAGCTTGACCTCGGCGTTATCGGTGAGCAGCACGTTCTGGCCCTTGATGTCGCGGTGGATCACCTTGCAGGCGTGCAGATGACTGAGGCCGCGCAGCATCTCGCGGCAGATGTAGGCGATCCACTCCTCCTTCAGCGACTGGCCCTTCGTGGCTGCGGGCGGCCGCGCCGGGTCAGCACGGACCGCCTCGGCCGGCCGGCGCTCAGGCCGGGCGGCGGGCGACGGCGGCGCGCGGAGCCCCGACAGTCACACGCAGGGACTCAGCCAAGGCGAGGCGACACGGCCGATATGGGTCATCTTGCGGCGGCTGGTACTGCTCAGTGACCTTTACAATATGTGACGGAGAAGAGAACGCTTCGCACAAGCCCTCATCCAGTGAAAGTTCGCACGACAAATACATTAAATCCAACTTTCGCACGTTAATCAATGCGGAGGGTAAGGCGACTGATGGCTGTCATCTCTAAGATGACCAACACTCGTCTAATCCATGATAAAGCTAGTTCCGAAATACTTCTGGCCTTACACGAACGAATTCAGTCTATGTACAGCTTTCTCCCTCCAAAACGACGCTCTGCAGCAAAACGTACGCCAAGGCCGCAAGCTGGCCGCCCTTCCCCGCCGAGCATCTAGCGCCGAGGGCGGCCTGTCTAAGACGCGGCAAGCTACCTAAGCCTGTCTGGCCATTTCGGGCGCCAATGCTGGTCAAAAACCGATCGCAATTCGAACACTGAGCGGCAGGCGTCATGACAGGCAGTTCACTACCTGTGCGAGGCGGGAGGCACGGGCGGGCACCATGGAGGAGAACGGAATGGGTCTCAGTCCAGTCAACACTCAGCCCGACGTCATTGTATAGACCTAACCCCACGGAAGACGCCACATTGTGTTCATCACGTCAGCTGAATACGCCATCTCACATTCGTGTGGCACAGCCGGCGGCAGCGCTGAAGGCGCCACTTGTAAGCATTCGCATATGAGCGAGCTTACACACACACAGCGCGTTCGGTAGTATACAAACGCCCACAGAATACCGCTGCGTCGAATGCCTACAAGTTCGGTGGCCAAATACGCCACCACAGCTGCGGCAGAGCACTAGCGCGCCAACGGAACGGCCATCACACGCCGTGCCACGTGACCTCGAACGACACCCATGCCGCGACGGACGCGGACCCCGGGACCGAAGGGTGCTTACATTTGACGAGGTCGGTGACCGACCCGGCGCCGCAGTACTCCATCACCAGCTGAAAGCAGAGGCCCTAGAGGTCAGACCGGCTGGCCGCGCGGCCGAACGGCACGCACCAGGGGCGGGGGGGGGGGGGCATCTCCCTCCCCCCCCCCCACACACACAGACACACACCCTCCTCGTCAGAGACACGAAGACGGCTGACTGCCAGCCAGTGAATGCCTTTCCGCAGACCGGCCTGGTGGCGCCGCACAGCCAGTGACACTACGGTGCTGGGTCACCGAACCAAACTGCCTCGAGACGCCAGAAGGCTTTGAACGCAGCACAACTGGGTGCGTTGAAGCGTCAAGACTCCAGCCACCAGAGAGAAGTCCCACAGCTTGAGCTGGTTCTCGGGACGACGCGGCGCCCTGCCGCCCAGCAGGCCTGGCACTTCCTCGGAGTGGTCCGTACCCATAGCTGGTCGTCCTTGCCCGGGGGCGACTTCTTGATGAAAGCGCCGTAGTAGGTGGCGATGTTCCTGTGGTGCGAGTACTGAAAGCAGCGCCGCCGCGTCAGACGCCATCCGCGACGAAGCCCCCAATGGTGGGGACGGCAGCACGCGCTCCAGCGCCGGCTCCCGCCAGAACGCACATGCCGCTCACCGCTGCATTCCGTCAAGGACGAACAGCTCTCCCCTCTGGCAATTACCCATTGGGTAGACAGTCCCCTCCCCCCCCCCCCCAAAGCATCTGATTAACCACCAGAACCTCCGACAGAGAACGCCATTTCAGCCGGCCCATTCCCGCACGCGGCACCAGCTTTGAATGAAGCCATTAGCGAAGTGCCGGGGGCGTGGCCCCGCCCCCAACACCAGCCGCTGGCAGGGCGCGTGCGGGGTGCTGCAGCCGGCCGGCGGCCGTCACTGACCGCCGGCCCACCGCCGGACTCCCACATCCATCAGCGTCGCGGGCCGGCCGAGCACACAGTCGAGCACCGGAGCACGGTCGCCCGCGGCCGCCGCTCGGCCCGCTGACGGCGGCGGCCGCCCCGCCCCCGCCCCGACCCCCGCCGACTCACCTTCTTCAGCACGTTAATCTCCAGCTTGATCTCTTCCTCTTCATCCTGCAACGACAGCGGTGGAGTCGTGATTAACACGCCTTCGTCTGCACGCTCGTTTGCCACACGTCGGACAGCGGGGGCATCCGGCGTCTTCACAGAACGCGTGACTGATGAACGACTTACGCGGCTCACTGACTGATAACACCTCAACATCAAATGTCATGCAAATGTCAAATGTCATGTCCAGACGTAACGGTTCCTCCACAATCCGGCCCCGTCTCCGTTCCTCCCCGCGTGCATGGAGTGTGAGCATCCCCGCCCGCAGGACAGTTCCTGCCGTCGTATGCGACAGAGGACACCACCGCCGCCCAACCCACCTCCGTGATATCCATGCACTTGATGGCCGCCAGCTGGCCCGTCTTGGTGTGGCGACCCTGGCGACAGCAGCGACGTCAGCGAGGCGACGGGCCACGTGGGACAACACCGAAGCACGCAGTGGGCGAGGCACCGAGACCCAACGTCAACGTTGGTATCTAATCTAATCGTAATCTAATGTAATCGGGCACAATGCCGATTGATCTACTGCGTGGACTGATCACAAATGACCGAACGTAAACGTAAGCCCGGATCGGGCACAGTGCCGATGGATCTACTGCGTGGACATATCACAAATGAGCCCGATTTCTTGGTAGAAAAATGGGATGTACTGCAACGGAATTTTCACCCTTCAAGGGGTTACTTAGCGAAGTTTCAGAGCTTACTTTCCGAATGCCCTATTCTGGTAACGCCTGCACGCGCTCAGCGTCTGCCGTGGAACAAATACTAGACCTCATTAGCCCAATGAGCAACATAATTCACATCGCGACTCCAATTAGCATGAACAGAAAGGGCGGCACATCTCCTGATTCCAAATGGCATCGTGAGGAACCTCACAAATCCACCGAGCGGGCTGCGGAGCCGTCACGGTAACTCAGCCGCGACTTATAGTGATCCCATCCGTACTCTAGTGATCCCCAGCCGTACTTCAGATTTCAGCAGATTTGCCGCAAACATGGTCTAAATGACGCAAACTATTTTGTGACTTTGAGCACCACATCTCTCGAGTAGGCGTTTTGAGGCAATGCACGTGGAGAACCGATGGCCGTTACCAAGACCTTGGTCATAGTTTAAGAAAAGAGTCCGGTGCGATGAAACCGACATGACAGACCTCTAACCATGTAAGTCAAATATCACTCAGCGCATCCTGCGCATAAAACTTATGCCTGACACCCCATACATTTTGATAGTTCTCTAAACGTCACAGTACCGACGAAGATGTGACCATTACAACGGAAAACGAGAATCTAGTGAATTACACGCGATCAAGCGAAAAACTTCGACGGCTCCCCCACCCCCCCTACCCGAACGTACCCGAAGAGACCGACGGTTTGACACCGCCAGTGACGAGCAACGTAAAAGTAAAGCTCAGCGCACCCCCGACCGCCCGACGCTTCTCGTCCGGGTGGGAAGCACGGTCACCGCCCCTGGCCATGCCGCCGATCGCCGACACAGTCATCGGTGCACCAGTGAGTCAGAGACGCCAGATAGCGCCGCCTCGCCGCTGACGCAGCCGCGGCGTTCGGTCAAACCCGTTCTTCAGGCCGTCCTGCGGCCGGCGTCGCCAGCGTTAATGCTTCGCCGACCAGCGTCGCGGTCCAGCTCATGCCGTTCACTCGAGCCGTGGCCAGCACGGCCGGCACCGGACCCGGCTACGTCACCCCGCCCAGAGCGCGCTCTCCGCCCGCAGCGGGCCGCGCTGGCCGCCGTGTCCTTCACCCCGTCACGGCGCAGTTTGCGGCTCGTCCCCACGTGACCACGGGCTACAGAACCTATCGCCCTCTCTCCTCCCACGGTCCAGTCGGAGCCATCGCGGGCTACTCGGTCTATGCCCCGCTCGTTGCTCTCACGGTCTAGGAGTGAGCGCGGGCTGCCGGGCCCAGGTCCGCCACACAGCCCGGCACGCCGGGCACACGGTTCGCCCGGGAGGTCACGGATCACCGAGACCTACCGTCCTCCACCCCCTCCCCCGCCGTCCTCACGGACCAACGGGCGGCGGTGAGGTCGTTTCCGGTCGAGCAGGCGGCGGCGCGGGCCGGGCCGGTCGGGCGGCGGCGCGGCCGCAGCCGGCTACCTGGCGCGCGTCGCCACCACCCCGGCCGTATAAGGCGGGGCGGCCGCCCCACCGCGACCTGCACGCCGGCCGGCGCACAAGCCGACTCACCGGCCGACGGGACCGCACACAACCGACTCACCGGGCCGACGGGACCGCACACAACCGATCACCAGCCGACGGAACCGCACACAACCGACTCACCGGCCGACGAGACCGCACACAACCGACTCACCAGCCGACGGAACCGCACACAACCGACTCACCGGCCGACGGGACCGCACACAACCGACTCACCGGCCGACGGGACCGCACACAACCGACTCACCAGCCGACGACCGCACACACCTCACCGGCCGACGAGACCGCACACAACCGACTCACCGGGCCGACGACCGCACACAAACCGACTCACCAGCCGACGGGACCGCACCAACCGACTCACCAGCCGACGGACCGCACACAACCACTCAACCGGCCGACGAGACCGCACACAACCCCACTCACCGGCCGACGAGACCGCACACAACCGACAAACCAGCCGACGGGTCCACACACAACCGACTGACTGGCCGACGAGTCCCAATGTTTCCAGCACCACCCTCTTCGTTATTGCAAGACAGCTTAAAAAGTAAGCATTGGTACACTTTGGACAGACCAGAGACGCCCCCCCCCCCCTTTCTCCTCCTACACTGCACCAAAATATATGCCGGAAACGCAGGAGGATTGAAAGGACCGAAAAGTTGCAGCATGAGATTCCGCGAATTGAGGACAGTATGACGAGTTACAGTTGAATTTGTGAACCGGACACACAGCTGTGTGTTCTTATCTGAGTCCAAGGACGTTCAAAATCCTTGCACGCGCACGGAATGGACGCGTAACTAGTTCATCACAGAACCATTACATCTGCCAGTAAATAACAAAATTAGATAATCTTCATGCCGGGGGATATCAAATGACACTGCTGTGGCAACCAGGGTTCAGTTCATACACTGGTATATCACCTGTTGTTACATGATAATCTTATCGCTTAGATTCCCGGGAGGAGTGACTGAAATGGCCCGCTCGTCACAGTGCCATCCGTTTTATCAAATCCCTCGTCTAGCCTGACGGCGCCGAAGAGACGAATCGAAGAGGCAGGCCAGAGACGGGCCAAAGAGACGAGTCAAGGAGACAAGTCAAAGAGACGAGCCTGTGTGACAGGATAGGCGCGAATCAGTTTTTGAATCGGTTCCAGTTCTAATACTTCATTCGGTCAAGTGCACCTGATCGAACGTCCCTTGACACACATGGGAATGCTGTCAACCGTTCACAAATGGCGCCTCTGTGAAAACCACTGGATAGGTCTCACATTGCAAGCGATCCGATCTCAGTTCGTCACTGAGCAAACATGGGCGAAGAAGCAGCAAGTGCGGATCTCGAGCGAGCCCCGATTCCACGATCGGATCGGACTCACCTACAACAGTGGAAACGTGGCCACTGTGCGTGGTTCAGTGCGTGCGCCTATGCCTGAAAGTTGTCCTGGACCCTCGCCAGGCAAGCGGAGCTTTACCGGTCTTCCGCCGAAGGGCATCGTGCAGCCTGTCATTCCCGGGACAGCCTTACAACCACCAGACGAAAGATGCTGACATTTCGATGCTGAGGTTGAACACTCGCGCACATTGTGTAAATTTAGAGACCCCACCTTTCGCGAGAGGTGACTTTTTGTGGGAATCATGCCGGTCGTATTTCGCATTCAGGCGCCTGATAACGCAGGATTATCGTAGGGTACGCTAAGGGAACTTCCGGCACTGAGTAGCCGTGCCTCATCATTCTGCCTGAAGATAAGCCACCACTCAGTGCAATTACGTTGGTTAATCACATTAGGTGGAGCTAGTACACGCACGTGAAATTATGCAATCACTGGGAGGTGGTGTGTGCCTTTCGTGACCTATTTTGACAAATATTTGTCATCTTAAACGATCTTTGATGCGGTATGACTAGCATTTTGTCGGTTTCTTTGTTTAATTGCCGCAACATACAAAGTGTTTCGAGGCAGCGGGGGTGAGTGTTGTACATGAGGCTGGAGCTGCGCGATCCGATTTGACATGCCACAGGTCACGGTCACTGAAAGGTCAGGGTCGACGAAATGATCAGTGTGCCAAGGGCTCCACAATACCGCTTCCCCCACAGTCATGGCACGCATGGTTCTGACCATGGGAGGGATGTTCGCTTCCACTCATTTTGCCTCGTTAACAGGGAACATGGTATTGTTCCGATGTTCAGTGACACTAATAAAACACAGCTTTACGCGACCCATCAAATTCCTGATTCCTGGTTTCAAACCTGGCCCTAGCCCATCGTCTTCTACACAGTAATAGCCCGCCTGGGTCGCCCGGCAAGGAAAGGCGATAAACACATCTGTCCGACAAGACATAACAGCTGAGTTACCGGAATGAGAACAACGAGGTGGAAATCAGCCATTCAGACGCGTTCCCCGCCAGCTGTTAAAGAAGATGTAAACTTTTTCTGGCCAAAAGCTGGCCGTGGTCCCACCAACAACCAAACCGCAAGTGTGCACATGGTCTGCAACGAACAACATAAACGGGCCCCGACACGTGAATGCCATCCCGCACACCCAGCTACGAGAGCCTGTCTACACGATCCAGCACCACAGCCTTTGTGTGGGGACTCCGCCAGGCGATGCAGGGATGGCGCCCTGCAGCCGCCCTTCTGCGCCTGAAGCGACGTCGCCGCGCCGTGCCTCTCACAGTCCTACGGCCGGCAGCGCAGCCCGCTACCACGGCGCTCGCCCGGCCAGGCGTGCAGCGCAGCCGGCCCGGGCGCCAGCGGCCGGCGCCGTACCCCGGCAGCGAGAGGGTCCGGCGCCGACCGCTGGCCCGGCCAGACGTGCAGCACGGCCGGCCCGGGCGCCAGCGGCCGGCGTCGTACCCCGGCAGCGAGAGGGTCCGGCGCCGGCCGCTGGCCCGGCCAGACGTGCAGCGCAGCCGGCCCGGGCGCCAGCGGCGAGCGCTGTACCCCGGCAGCGAGAGGGTCCGGCGCCGGCCGCCCGCTGCCCACCCCATCCCGCTGCATTAGCTGACATTAGCCGGCTGGTCGCGTCGCAGGAAGGCCACATGACATAAGCCACCGCAGTCCGTCCCAGCGCCGCACGCCCGTGGCCGCGTCCAGACACGGCACACCGCCTGCAAGGCGGGCAGCTTCGACCCCCGTCTGCGGGGTATTTCCTGTCTTCAGAATCATCTCGCGGTCGACCTCACCCAATCCGAAGAGCTTAAGCATCATCCCGCGGTCGACCTCACCCAATCCAGAGAGGGCGCGAAATGCTGAGTGCACGTACGGAGGCAGATAGGCAGCTGTCGTTAACTCGCAATACACTAGCTTCGTTCCATCGGCGCGGCTGAAATGTACCAGCCGCAGCCATTCGACTGGAGCCGCAAGTGCCTGAGCGTTGTGGGTTTGAGCCGGAACAAACACTGTCATGGATTTAGCGGTCGGCTGGCCACTGGACATAAAAAGCGCACCTGACGCCCGCCGGGAGTGGCTGCGTTCAGCCGTGCCAAAAGTTGCACGCTAGAATAAGAGCCGACCGGGGCGGCCGTCACAATATCCTGCATATGATCCCCTGCTGAGCTGGGCCGCGCTGGTCCAACGGCACATTCAGGACGCGGCCAGAAAGACGCTCCGATGAGCATTTAGTCGGGGCCCAAAGTATTCGTCCTATTTATTCAGGCTCAGGTGATCTCCGACCTCCCGCGGTACCCGCCTTTCCTGCCAGGATGACAGACAGCCAACGAACAAGCCATCACGGTGAGAGGCAGGCGAAATTTAGTCGTTGTATGACAAATTTCAAACAGCTGTTGTCATTGTGGTTCCGCGGCTCACTTGTCGCATACGTCGCCTGCCTCTCGCGCTGGCGGTAAGCGCGGCGCAACGGGGAACCGACCCTCGCACCTCTGGTTTCCCAGCTGCGCGGCTCAATCCCTGGCCACCGGACCCCACCTTTAGCTCCCGATGGACGCTGGGGACCACGGCCAATTCTGTGTGTAACAGCGCATTAAAGACGCGGCCATCGGCCACCGGCCTACTCAGATCACGTGACACAAACGATCGTCCAGGACCACTTCTGCATGCACAGCGTCCAAACCGATCCCCGCCTGATCCGGAGAATACGGCCGCGGAGGCGGGCCCTTCTGCTGACTTCCCTCCCCGAGTCAGAAGGCTCGACCGCCTCCGACCTTCCTCTCCCCTCTACAGCGCGCCACGGTGTCGTGTGACCCGGACTTTGTGGCGGCGGGCGGACGCGCCGCGGCGCGTGCAGCTCACCTTGTACACCTGGCCGTAGGTGCCATTGCCGATCACCTCGATCAGGTCGAATATGCCGGCCGGGTCCTGCAACAGACGGCTCCGGTCACCGCCGGTGGTGTCAAGTGGTGCGGGGGAGGGGGGGGGGGGGGGGGTGGCGGCGTGGGCCAGAGGCGCGGGAACGGTCACAGTGCAGTTAGCGTGTATCCGCTCGGCGATTAGTTTGGAATGCGTAGCGCTAAAACACATTTGCTGGTCGTGGGTGTCCGGTTTTCCTTCCGTGATAACAAGACAAAATATGGACCTACAACACGGGATCATGTTTCGCGTGTGAAGGGGAAACATGGTCACGTGACGCAGGATCATGTATCACGCATCAGCGAGAAATATGGACATGTAATGGTAATGGAAAAAGTGGTGTCACATGATCCTCGTAAAACAAGTTATGATTATGTCGCGCTTCCAAATAACACAACGCTCCATTTTTCACAGCGTAGGCTTGGAGGCCAGACCTTCATTTACAGCAGAGCGGGTGAATTATCCACACGAATGTGCTAGTTTACGCATCGTCTTCTGTCAGGTCGCCGGGCCAGCCATCCAAAAGTTCGGCGTTCATGCTGCTGGTGGCGTCCTCATTTAACACATGTGGGGACTATACCAAAGGCTGAGAGAAAGCAAATCTTGAGTAAAAACAGTATCAGTAGAAAACGAAACAGAACAGAACAGACTTCACGAGCTGGGCTGGTCTTGAAGAACAGAATCTGCCACATTAGCACGCAGAAAACACATGGGTTGAAGAACTCCATTTGCCTCCTAGGTTCGAAGAGGCGAAGCTATTCCCAGTATTTGTCCATGCTCTTTGGAAACATGCGACAAAAAGCACTACAAAAATACGAATATTGACAAATTCAGGAACCCCAGATGTGTTACCTATGGCAACTTGTCTTCAACTAGAATCACGGATAATAATGAGCGCCAAGGCATTGCTATGATCTTTTGCTTTGCATTGATGCGTGCCAAAAATAGATTACGCCTTTACAACAAAGCACCTGCATGACAGCTACTTGCGCAAGAATTAAGAAGCTGCACATGCCGCCAATATGTACGGCATCTGCAGCTCGCCGTGCCGATGCTCCCAGTGGACAGCATCGGGACCAGAGTCCGACCTACGCCGGCTTCATAAAGCCCGCCATGAGCAGCAGGTCGTTCAGGAGATTCCGCCAAATACGGCGCGATCGCGCCGCGGGCGCTGAGTCATGTGGCGCTGCGCGATCTCGAGCGTGCCGGAACGACCGCGACACCGGCGCCACCCTCGATCAGACGCGTGCCGCTCATCGCGTGGACCGGCGGCGTCCACTCCACGCCTCCGACCCGGGCCACAGCAACCGACACCATTTGGCGAGTTCACGTCGTGTCGTCCGCGAGGTGCTCCGCTTAAGTGCGGGAATATTCGTGTCCTCCACCTTTCCCACACCCGCAGCGGTCGCCTTGGTTCACGTTGTCGTTGTTCGGGGCTGGCACACGACAAGCTTCATCTGAACCGGCGCCCAGCCCGAGGTTGCGGGAGGAGGGGGTGGCGGGACTGATGGCGTCTCTGCTCCCTGCCGAGCCAGCACCGGCCCCGCCCCCAGCACTCTTCGCGACAATGAGGGGCGCACGGGGCGATCCAGCCGAAAATAGCGGCGGGGCGGCCTTCCCGCCGACACGGGCCGCCGGTGCGCGTCGGCCCAACCGTCCCCTGATTCACCGGGCGCCGGCCGGGCCGCACGCGCTGCCGGGAGCGCGCCGGCCGCCGCCGGCCGCCGTCCACAGTTGGCACCCGCGCCGCCGCCCAGCGACCGGCGCGGCGATGTCGTCACCGCGGCGCCGCGCATCACCGCTGCCATGGTCCCCGCTCCACCCGGGGCACAGTGCGGCTGTCAGAAGCTCTAGTGTTACGGAATCGTGCTGATCATGACGCATGGCCAAAACAAAAGCTCATCGAAAGAGAACTATTAACATGGTGTTTGCATATCACATAAGAGTTGCCTGATGATTTACATTGCTATATGAATGAAAATGGCATGCTGAAGATTATATGCAGGGATATTATCCCACAATAAACAACTGTAACCTTCAAAATGCAATTAGTACTGTTGCCAAAACAAGCATTATACAGTGAAGACTCATACCATTATAGCAGCAACTTCAGATGGAAAACTAATGAGGCAAACAAATCTCTTGTCACATCCCATGGGATAACATAGCTGGGTATTGCAGTGGCATGATCACCAGCCATCACACACAAAGATTGCAAGGCCAATAAATAGATCATTCACAGTACAAATAGAGAAAGCAGATGCTCAGTTTGAACCAGCCAGAGACTTTAAGTAAATTCAGATAATGCTTCAAAAGATTCTGATCATATTTCATAAAGGCTGCTGGACCAAATCAGTGCATTCCAACAAAATAGGTCCTGCTTATTAGCATGACAATGGAAATAGGCACAGCTGCTGGACAAAGCATCTCAGCCAACTTTGCAAGGTTCAAAATGGTTCAGCATCACTGCAGAGCCTCAGCCCTGATGTTACACATCATGCTCATCCAGCAAAAGGTGCCATCAAAATGGAATTACAAGACCATACAACCATCTTAGCACAATCTATGTAAGTGATTTAGCAAGGTTTTAGCATCACATTTGCAATATTACCAACATCTAAAAACACATCAGCATGTCACTTCCTATTGCTGGGCTAATTATGTGCACATTCAGCACATTCATGTTCTTACCAACACATACTTTCATAAAATGTTATAATGTGTGCCTTGTGATTTGTGCAATGTCATCAGCAAGTAATCAACCTACACCAATATGAAATTACAAGAGAAAGTGAGACAAAAGTATGCCTACACTTGTTAAATGCACTTGTGTATGCTACCCTGAGTAGCAATTGCAGAATTTTGTGAGCTGCATGAAATGCCCAGGAATTCCACACAGGAACTCTTATTCCACACATGAAGATATTTGTAAATGATTGACCAGGTTGTACAAAGTTATGTTAACATAATTAAATCATGGATGGGTATATGGGTATACATGGAAAAGAGTACAAGCCAAATCAATATACATTTATAAGATATCAATCAGCCATATCCAAACCAGTTAATTTCATCCCAATAATAGATCCTGTATTAATCACAGCAATGACTTGTGTTTTGCTTCACAAGAAGTGGCCTGACAAACAAGCACATTGCCAATGATACCCTGCCAATAGCCTAATTATGTTGATATCTTAATTTCAGGAATTATTCAATCCCATTTTTGGCATGTGCCTCTAGGTATGCTGCTGACTGTTATTGAGTTGTAGACAAGTCATGAGGTGAGAAAGTAAAAGTTCAATGCAAATTACAAAATAAGCTCTGGCAAAACCTATGACTGCATGGGTATATTAGGTATTATGGTACACACCACACCTCAAAAGGGTTAGGTGAGGTCAGCATAGGTTAGGCTAAGCTAGTTTAGGACACTTAGCTCATAATGGGTGAGGTCAGGTCAGTTTAGGTGATGTTAGGTCAGGTTTCTAGGTTAGATTAAGGTAGGAGTAGGAGTACAAGCAATAATATGATGTTTTAAAAGCAGCTTTTGTGCACTGGAATATCATAATAGCCAGTTTTTAACACTATGTTAAAACACAAACAATGATTGGGTGGGCCCACCACAGATGATACTCAGGTTGCAATTGAAATGACACCTTATTATCTTGGAAACTAAGCAGGAGGTCTCAATATCTAAAAGTTTTTTTTCTAGGTAAACCTAAAATAATGAGCAGGAAATATAACAAATTTGAGGATAGACTTTTTCCTAAAAGCAAATATGATAGTCTCACTGGACAGGTGAATTCATCAATACCCAAATCATGTTGGAATAAAGAAAGAAACAGCTCTGACAGGGCCAGCATGAAGGTTCTACCTGCAAAGGGATGTTTTCACATGTCCTTCCATTCACCACATACACTGAACTGGAAATATCTGCTATCACACCTAAAAACAGGGCCAGTGATTCACATGTTCACAGCACCATTAATTGTCATTTGTTTTGTGTTGCCAGAATATGATGCCATGAGTACACTTCCATGAACCTTTCAGCAGTATGATTCTATTCACAGTAAGAGATAAGAACACACAAGGCTTACATCAATCAAGTTTTTGAAAGCTGGTTCAGGGGAGAATAACAGCTTGACTACCCCTAAGAAGAAATGGACCTAAAATATTTGAAAACAGCTGTGAAGGGTGATTGAGTAGTAAACCCACACATGTTGGAGCATGTCAATCTGCATTTCCCACTACCTTTAAACATAGTAAAATGTCCATTTAATCACAATTTTAAAAGCTTACAAATATGAATGCAGTGACTAATGGCCTAAATTTTGTGGCAACTAAGGAATACTTTTGGAATCATTTGAAATAGCAGCATTCACACAACATGATTCCACTTCTGACTACTGAATTATAACTTGAACTCTTTGATGAATTGTGTCACGAATCAGTCACAACCAACTACAGCAAATCACAAATGTGGCCACTGTAGTCAAAGCAGGAGGAAAAATCAGGGCATCTCACATGAAATGCTCTGAAAATAAAGCCTGGTGTTTATCCAAATGTCACACAAAAACATGCCACATTCTTACATAACATGTGATGTACCTACCTTTAAAGCATTGAGATCAATGTCATCCAGGCTACAATTAATGTTCTGTTGTGAATGCGCCATCTCCAGTATCTTGCATACACTTTTGTTCCACACAGTTCACAAGCTTCTCAATACTGAGATCCTGATGCTTGGATGATCCTGGCTAGAAATTACTCCGACCGACGGTAGGGTGGGCCGATGGGTAACAAAGACCCCCACCGAGATTGTGAGCGCATGGGAGCTCAGTGGGGCAGGCGATGCGCCTATCTATACCAACTGGCTCGAACATAGGCTTCGGAAGATGTTTGCAAAAGTATCCTTCATTGTCGTCCGACCTTCCCAGTTCACTCCCACTAATCTCAGGCTACCCCCTCCCTTTTTTTTCACCGTCCTCCCATACTGCACAAGAAATTGGGCGACACAGAGGAACACAGCAGCCAGTTGCGAGTTTGAGACAATTGCGGTGGTGACGGGCGGCACCAGATTGTTGTAGACGTGACCGGTCACCGCATAAGATAAATATAATTGTGTAATACGTAAGATTTATTTCAGTTGATCTAAAAAAATGCACAAAATGTTATTGATATGATTTTGTCCAATTTATTTCCATAGTTTTGATTTAAAAACCAATCAAAACATTTAATAGTGCCACATATCTATAAATGACGTCATTAGTTTTCTCCCCTTGCATAGAAGCATCTCAGTCGTGTTTATCCTCAAGTAAAGTTATATCAGTACCGGTAGATATTGGTTTAGAGTAGTGCTGTAGCTTTGTGTTTCAACTTTTAACAGTTTAGTTTCACCGGTCTCACATAGGTGGCAGATGGAAGCTAATTTAGAATCTTGAAAAATCAACCTTATCTTCTCTGGCTCCTTTTGCAATAACGTGTGCAGTCTGAATCTTTTTGTTCTATGGTGGAGATATTTCTTATCGCTTGTTTTACTATTGAATCTACGAAACCTCGCATAACCAATCTAACTACAGCATCCGCAGTCTTGCGCTAATCCGTTCATCCAAACAAACTGGGAGCCTGCCAGGAAGCAGGTGCGAGGAGGTAGGTGGGGAGGGCGGCTATGCCAGGACGAAAATAATGGTTGGTGCAGGTGCTCAACGTTGACACTAGTCCTGAGATACGTGGTGTGCCGTAAGATGCCATAGGAATGCACGCGGGGAAAGTGGAAGACCACTGTCTGTCTCGCGAGGTTGAAATGCAAAGTGGGTAGTACCGACCAGGCTGCAAAAATAGGCGTTCTGCCAAACATGTGTTCGTAGCAGCGACATCCCAACAACAATTTCAGTGCATGAACACCATTGATCCCAGTGCCCCGAGGTCTGCCTGACTGACTAATTTCAGCACTGGGAAGACAATTTCTTTGAGGACATATGCTGTTGTTAGGGTAATTTTAGGTACAAAATGGTGTAATTTCAGGAAGGCAAAGGGTATAATTTCAATGTGTCATAACATTTTTGCAAGCCAAAATAATGGGAAGATAGAGTATGATTTATTTATGCTTAATTAGAGCACACATGTTCCAGGTTATGTCAACCAACATCATGTAATTGTACAGTGCATTGGATGAATTTTTCTTCAGATTGCTTTGCCTGGTTACCTGGTATACCTGGTCCAAGTATATTCCCAGCAGCTAATACTGTTTATTTCATGCATGCTCGCAATCATTTAAGTGCTTTCTGCCCAGATCACAAAACATGACAGTCTTGGAAAGATTTGCCTGCTCTGGTTCAATAGCTGGTGGTGTTATTTGGTGCTAGTCTTGCCTTACCCCATGCTATTTATAGCTTTGGCTGTTGTGAACCATCTAGTGATGGTGCTGTTAAGGTAGAGAAGTAGTACAAACTGATATGTATGCAAAATATGACTCTGGTAAGGGCCTAGAAAATAAGGTATCAGTGCTATTCAACTACTGTAATCTAAAAGAAAGGTAGGCATTATATTTACCAGGACCTGTTTATGACATTATTTTATCTATGTGCTTTTTAAGTTGGGCTTTGTTGCAGAAACTGAAACCCCAAATGTTGCCAATTGGTATGTTATCCTGGTCCCTTTATTTCCACTGGCAACCTGTTTCACTGTTTCAAATAGATCTGGTGTGGACAGCAGTATTGCCTAATCAGCCTAATCACTACACCAGTGACCTTGCAAAAGTGGTTTGATTCGGTTCCTTACCAAGGACTGTTAAAAAAGATGGGCTTGTATAGCATGAGGGAAGGAATAATTAAGTAAATGGAATTATTCCTGGTGGGATTGCAACATAAATTTACTACCAATGGTCACATCTGTCAAGAAATTGTTGAAAGTGGAATTGCTCAGTGATCTGTTCTCAGGTCCTTATGTTTCATGGTTTACATCACTAACATGCCAGACATGGTCAGACATGTTATACAGCTATATTCAGAGGATGTCAAGCTGTATGGAGTAGCAGTGGCAGGCTCTCTCTTGTTTGACAGGGCTGGGTATACTTTACTATGACATAAAAGCCATGGGGTGTAAGATGGAAATACATTGATTTTGCCCTAAATAAAACAAATACAATATGCTTCATGCAGACCTGAATAGTCGGCACTCTAAGTATTGCTTGGGAAGTCCCATCAAACAGATCAAATAGGAAAAGAATAAGCAGCAAAGTGAATGAGACTCCAAACTACAACCACCACTACAAAGTGAATGAGAACAATATGTGTCACAGGCAGGCTGCTTGCATAGCATAAAAAAAGTTCTGAGAATCATTAAGAAAGAGTTCAACTCCTCTGCTAAACAAATATGAACTGGTGACTCATCACCTCTGTCAGCCTCCACAGCTTTACTGCCGACTGTGACCTTCTGACCCCGGGTGACCCGACCCCGAGTGGCCACCGCGGCCATGGCGGGCGTGACCGGCACCGACCCGGACGTGATCTCGACCGGGCAGTCGTCCATCAATTCCATGGAGGAGGGCGTCACGGCGCTTGGAGGAGCCGGCACCGCCGCCGCCGCCGCCCGAGAAGCGAGGCGCCACCAAAACTGACCACTCGCCACTGCTGGAGCCAGCCGCCGGGCCTGCCGGCTCGCGCAAGCTGGGCACTGTGCTCGGCGTACTCGTGCCGGTGGTGCTGTCGCAGTTCTCATCCCTCCTCTTCCTGCGCGTTGGTGGGTGCCGGCGGACGGCGGAGCTGGGGAAGTAGCGGGCAGGGGTTTGAACCAGCAGGCAGAAGAAGTCGGTCGTCACATATTGCTCTGGTCAAGTGAAAGGTACAGCCTGTGCATTCTGCACAGACTCATCTGCATGTGCGCAGATGGACCTGGTTTTACACAGGAACGTGATTTGCACAGATTTTCACAGAAGTCCAAGTGTTTGTCATGCTCTCGCCTCAGAGTCACGTTCTTTCCCACTGATTGACACCGGCGGAGCGGCTGTCGTCCCGCCTTCGTGTCGCTGTGGCCACGCCCGTCCCCGTGACCCCGTCACCGACGTCTGCGACGCCCGCAGGCTACATCGTGGGTCAGTCGGGCCTGGTGCTGGCCATCGTGCAGCTGGTGCTGGCTTATGCCATCCTGCTGGTGACCATCTTGTCGCTGTGCGCGCTCTGCACCAACGGCGCCATCTCCGGCGGCGGCTCCTACTGTATCCTGTATGGGAGTGGACGGGGCGGCGGCGAACAGTGGACGACTGTGGGCCAGACGGCCGGGACTGTCACAGAGGGGGGGGGGGGGGGGGGAGTCAACAATGGCATGCTTTCGTTACTGGCTACTGTGCACTTGCTACTGTTCACTTGCTAGCTTTGACCTGCTCATGCACGGGTCTGTATAAGTTCACGACAGGATGACGCAGAAAGATAAGTGGCTACGGACGGTCACCGATGAGTAATGGTAGAAGGTGTGATTATCGTTTTCTTGTGGTGATGTCGAACGCTGTGCGGTGGTGATGGCCCGCCGCCTCATGGTATGGCCGCCTCACGTGGACTGGTGGTGTCGAACGCTGTGCGGTGGTGATGGCCCGCCGCCTCATGGTATGGCCGCCTCACGTGGACTGGTGGTGTCGAACGCTGTGCGGTGGTGATGGCCTGCCGCCTCATGGTATGGCCGCCTCACGTTGACTGCTGGTGTCGCCGTGGTGGTTTGTGTGTGCGCCGGTGACTGGACCAGCCATGGGTCGCGTTGGCATGACATGAGCATCCGAGTATGGATCTGAGCAGGACGGTGAGATCGGTAGGATGGCACACACACTCACACACTGTGGCGACCTCTTCCATATGGGGCTCCCGCATATCACGAACGGGAAAAGGTCGGTTGAAACCTCTATTCGTGGTTGAAATGTCACCTGTGTCGCATGGCTCGTGTTCAGGTGTCGTGGTGACGGCAAAAACACCCGTGAGGGTGCCTTTGTTAACCGTGGCGCATTTCCTGTCCATTTCTTTTTCGATGTGCTACATAGCTGTGTCTGTCGATGAAGCGCTCGTCGTAGAACGTTGTCAGTGTCGTTCGCATCCGGCCCAATTCCTTTATCTTGGGTGGGCGGCTCGTGTTGGCTCTGGCGGCATTGACGTATGCGTTGCTGGTTCGTTGCCCCCTGCCAATGCTCCTTGACTTGACACGTGTTCAGATATGATCAGCCGAACGCTGGGCCCAGAGTTCGGCGGAAGCGTCGGAGTTCTGTTCCTGTTCGCCAACATATTCTCCAGCGCTCTCTACATTTCGGGATGTGTGGAAGGAATGGTGAACAACCTCGGAATCGGGGGTGAGTTTCCCGTTATCTGCTGCGGTCACGCGATTTCCTCATCTCTATTCTCCCCATTTTTGTTTTGTGTTTTGTTTTGTTTTTAGGTTGGTGTATTTCACGTTCTCTAACCGCTTCTCTTACGCTCCTCTTAAATGATGGTCCCCGCTTGTTTTTTTCCGTTCTTCACGCCTACCAATCATTCCTTACAGCCTCACTCCCTCAGTCCTCACCTTCTCACCTTTCATTACCCCCGCTCTTCACGCTCGTTCCAATCTTCACACTTTTCATTTCTTACAGTTGTCAAGCCCTCAATCCATCACACTGCGAGCTCGATTTTTTTTACTTATCGCTTGTTCCAAACCTTGCTTTTGTCATCCTTTCCCATATTCTTCACTGGATGTTTTTTCGACCTAAATTCTTGAAACGACTCCGTAATTTTCGTTCCTATTTGTTTGTTCACGTTAGCGTTCGTCGCTGTCGTTCTTGTCCGTGTCTCAATAACGTCCTGTTTGTTATGGATTGCTTACGTGCGTATCAATCGTCTAATCTCAGTCATCCTTGTCTCATTTGCCACGTCCTTTCCTTTGTGATTGCTTGGTGCCGTGGCTAAGTCTGATGGCATTGGATGTCTGTACGTTATCGCCCAATTTCCCGTCAGTTTACAGCCCGTGGTTCCCGTTATCGGGTCGTCGCTGGCGCGTGTGACGTCAGAACAGTTAACCAATGGCGCTGTCTATCGAACATGACGCTGACTTATGACCATCAAGCCTTAAAGGGGGTGCTCTATATTTGTATGGGATTTTAAACTGAAATAACCGTCATGAGGATCATTCAGCGTAGTTCGCATCCCTGCCCTTCTTAAAATCTAAACCCCACTAGTTTCTGAGCTATACGCCCGTGAATATGTGCAGACTTGCAGGACAACTATTTTAAGGTCACCCAGGCATCATGACGTCATAATGACATTCAAACCCTGTCATTTTATTGGCCATGCGGCGATCAAGGCCAAGAAGAATGTAATGGTCAAATCGTTCATATCTGGCTTTCGTGAGCACGATTTCCAGACATAACGACCCTCAATCGGCTCTCAGTCAATGTTGTTCAGGGTACGCGACGGAATCAAAGAGTGACATATTGAGGAGCATACGTACTGAACAGAGAAATTGTATGTTGTGTGGAGCAGTCGTTTCCACTTAAAAACGTGCCAATAGTTATGAGTTTCTTTCTTCACAACTGAAGCTTCAATTCATTTGAATATGGAACACCCCCTTTAAAGGAGTTGCACGGATTTGTCGTTTGTGTTTGTCTTCAGTCCTCCATTGCTTTAAAGGATTGGGTTGCCGAAAGAAAGTTTTTGAGCAAAGCGTGGCAGTGGTAAAGGCAGCAGCCTGCCCTGTTCCATTTTGGTAGCGTCCTTGTGGTCGGCAGTTTCCCTGCACGCTGTAATGGTTCTGGGAAACTCTGTCGTTAGCGGGGTCAACTTCAGAGGTCAGCACGCGAGAGTGGTTGTTACGGCGGTGGTTTAATCTGCTTGTACCTATCTATATATCATGGCGGTGGTTTGATCTGCTTGTACCTACTTATATATCATGGCGGTAGTTTAATCTGCTTGTACGTGTTTATATATCATGGCGGTGGTTTAATCTGTTTATACCTATGTATACCGTTATGACCGATGACAAAGCGCCAGAGTGGGGAGTTTTCACTTGTGCGCAGTTCGACAGAGTTACTAGCATGCTTTTTGGAAATGGGATTTGCTGGCCGTCGTGGGGGGGGATAACATAAGAAATCTGCTCTGTGAGGCCTAAGCCTCCTAAATTCATAAACGAGCAATGCCATCCATACTCCGGCCGTCTTCAGCACTTGCGAAAGCACGGACTTGGGAACGACCTTTTTAGTTGGGAAAGGGGCGGTATTGCTTTGTGAGTAAGTACAGATATATGCGGAGTGAGCCGCCAAGAAAGTGCTGGTACGCGCGCTCCAGATGATCGGGCCGTTGGGATTTCAAGTTCCGTGGCGTGTGTATGTGAGTGGGAAGGGACTATTGAAAACTGCGAGTTAGGATCTGAATCAAGCGCGCTAAAACATTGTGACCAACAATTCCGAGTGCAGGCCATAAATTCAGCTGAAAATTAACGCCACCATAGAGGTGCAGCCAAAATGCTCTGAAGTGGAGGGGGTAGGGGATCGTGGTGGGGTATAGTGCTCGGTGAGAAAGACTCCGCCGCTTTTTTTCTGGCAGGTGCCGCCTGGGGTGACAAAAATGTGAACCTTAGAGGACGTCCGCCCCCCCCCCCCCCGCCCGGTTGCGCCCCTGCAACACCCTGCCTGCAATGAACATCTCGATCTCCTTTGTAGTCCGCGGCTGTTGTTTCGTGAAGTTATCACGAAATATCATATATCATATCATATATCCCATGAAGAGTTATCGCTTGTTTGAGGGCATCTCAAAGAAAACCACATCTCACTTGTGCATTGAACCATGAACCAACGAGTTGTAAATAAGCAAACTCAACATCCAGCCACGTCATACAAAAGTAGGGCTGCAGATCGTCATCTTAGAGCAGCTAACGACTTAATGACTTCAATTAAAAACATTTGTCCAATGGTGTAGCCGGCTTTGGTGGGCGGCTAGCACGCCGAGTCCCGGCGGCTACCCGGCCAGCCGATCCTGTGGCCAGGTGAAAGCTTGTGATTAGTGCGGGGTCTCCGAATAGTGTTACCTGTGGGTGTGTCCAAGGTCTGGCCAGACGGTGCAGAAGTCAGGGCTGCTTAGAAACCATCTGGCTATCCCGTGAAATGATCAGATCTGGTAGTGACATTATCACAGGGCTTAACAATCACAATGCTCCCTGAGAACAACATTTAGGTGCTTTATGCTGTTTTACTATTTCTCCACCAATCTAAGGACATACTCCCCGTAAGATCTGGCCATTTGTTAATACGATTAAAGTTTTCGTATGCTATTTTAGTAACACGTAATAACGTGCAATTGTGTGATCAATTTTGATCCTTGCTCGGATCTGCAAACGTGGGTGAATGGCTAACGTGGACTTACGGATCTCAAATCCACGGCCCGAATCCATGCGCATACATTTCCAGAGCTGTCCGGCGTCCCGAGTCGTCCCCAGTGGGCCAGCCGCAGGTGTCAGACGATCGATTACCGGGTAGCCGGCTGGCCAGCGACCTGGCTGGAATACACCAGGGGATGCCTCACTTTGAGCCTAAGCCTAGCCGACACCTGCCACAGCCTCCAAGCCCGGATGACAGGGCGATTGCCGCGTGCGCGTAAACGCACATGTTTTGGCAGAGAAGCGTTAGGGTATGCTCGGGTCCATGTTCATGAGTTATACCCATATGGTACAAAAATATTGTCAGCATCTGGATTTTTACTGAGATGCTCGTTCTTGTAAAAGAACAAAAAAAATGTGGAAGAGCTGTGTCATTTGTGACGCTAGATATCTTAAGTTTGATATGTTTGGTGTAAGGCACGTCTATTTCTCACGCACTAGCGACGCGCATGGCAAAACACACCCATTCTTGAAAGCAGGGCGCGGCGGCATTAATCCCCTTGGTAATATATGCCTATGAGGCTTGCGTTTTGGGTGAGGTCATCGCCCGGCCGGAAAGTTGGGATGGGATTGGGGTAGCTGCCCCATTCCCCCTCCTCCACCTACGCATCTGCGCAAGCGGGCTTTCTCCTCAAGAAATGAGATTTTCCTGGGACATGCCTGATTGCGTAACACGAAAACAGTGTGGGGCAGCGGTTGTGTCAGGCCACGATGGCCATGTTTTCTCCGCAGTTGAGCTAATGCCGCGTGTGTAACGCGACACGGCAGCGACCGTGACGACACCCGGCTGGGGTCCTGCGCTGCTGCGCTGCCCCGCTGCCGGAGTGCGGCGCCGGCGCGGCGGCGTGCATCCGTGTGAGAATGGGGCCGGCCGTGTTTGGCTGCCTCGCGCCAAGGTCGCTCCGCCGCCCGTCACCAGATCGGCCGCGTATCCGTCAAACGGGCGGCGCAGCGGACCGTCCGGCGTGCACAGACAGTGTAGCGCGCCCCACGCCCGCGCGCTGCGCGCCAGAGCTCGGCTGGGTGGTGTCGCGGACGGCGGCTCGTCTTCGCTTCATGGCGGGCGGCGGGCGGACCGGTCCCCGCCGCCCTGCCGCCGGACGGCTGCTGCTCGAGCCGTCCGCTTGTTTGACGAGCGGTCAGCAGCCGTCCCCCGGGGTCACGCGCAGGGACGTGAGGTGACGGCTCGCCCGGTGACGGGTCTGCCGCTGTTGGCAGCTGGTGATGCTGCCCCCCTTACCGGCACTGAATACTGCTACGGCCGCTGCTATTGAAGACCGATGTACATTTTGCGGGGGCGGGGGGGGGGGGGACACGTCAGGATTCGAAGTAATAACATACAGCAACAGTAGGCTCCATGAAGGAATAGAAAATATCGGGATCGCCCATTGCCGTAAATGTACGTGAAGTTGGGCCGTGTTTGCAGAGGAAACAAAAGGCGGTCCGGGTTATTCAACATACTTACTAGGTAGTGGAGCAAAAAGGACCACTGTAACACCACGTGTTCAACGACTGCATATTAAACCAACGATAAAATGCTGTTCTAGTGGACAAATGTCTCGGCCTCGTTTCGCCGACAGGAGTTTCCGTGGTTTGTTGGGTCGCAGTTTCCGAAGAGGCTGACCTGCCTGCCTATTTAACATTAAGCTATGTAACGTCATGATTCCACGTGCAAGACGCCGCCTGTATAATTTGGGGCCATGGGCTGTGGCCCGAGCGGCGAGGCAACACTGCGGTCCTAGCTTGCCAGATGCGTGCCCCTGCCGTGCTGGCTGATCGTCCCACTGGCAGGCGGGCGGGGCCCCGGCGGCCGCTCGAGCGTGACGCGGCCCGGGCGGCTCCGGGACACACCACCCGCCGACGGTCGGAGGCGGTCAGCTGCCAGCGCGCCGGCGTCCGTTATGGGGCTTGGATTGATTAAGACGATAGGCTGGCGCGCCCGCTAGCCTGTGGCATCAGCGACGAACTTGTGCGGCCTCTGTCACGGTGGCCTCTGCATTTGTGGCGCTTGAATACGAACCGGGCTGTCCGGGCCAGAGGAGCAGACAAGAACGGCGCCGATCGACATCCGACAACTCGAACGCCCGTCTGAGCGAGTGCAACGGAGCGCTCTGCTCTCGAAATTCGCCCCATCGTCTTCGCGCCGTCGACCAGAACCTTCAGCGTCCGACCACGCTGGCGCGGCCGCGTGCCGCTGCGCAGCACCGCCTGTCACGCCGATGTCATTTTCTCCGTATCGAAATGCGTGGCGGGCGGGACGGGCGTTGGCCGTGCGGCCCGCCGGCGGTGCTTTGAGCGCGGGCTGCCGGTCCGGACGTGGCAACAGTGCGGCGCTTGACGCGGCCGGCGGCAGAGGCCGGCGCCGCCGTCAGCTGCGGTCAGCCGCGGCGCCACCCTCGCGCCACGCTGCGCGGCGGCTGACACGCGCCCGGCGCGGCGCCGGCCCGGGAAACTGGAGCCAGCTGGAGTCGGCCGGCGGCCGTGAGTCACGAGGCCGGGCGGACCGCGCCGGACTGACGCAAGCCGGCCAGCCCGGGTGCGTGTCAGCGGGGTCGATCCGGTCCGGCCGGCTGGCGAGGCCGCTGGCGCCGGCTGGGCCGAGGGGTGTTTGTGGCGCTGGCTTCGGAGGCCATGTTTCCCCTCTGTGGGCGTCGGTTGCCTCGGCTCGACGCAGGGTGCGTGGATCGCTGCTGGAGTCTCCACGCGAACGCCCGGCCGACCTCGCCGGCGTGCGCACGTGGCCAGCCGTGATGCAGTTGTTTTCTTGCCTCGGGGGTCGTGCGGTAGCATCGGCCAGCGACTTGACCGACACCGCCTGGCCCGCCGTGTTCGGTTGATTCTCAGGCATACCGTGGGACGCGAACACCGCGGTCGGGATTCACGAGGGACATCACTCGCGGGACATGGGTCACATTGGCCGGTGACCTCAGTCGGCACCCGCACCACGCGACCGTTGCGGCCGGCTTGGCGGCGTCACCGGCGTCCGGCCGGTGCCGCCAACGCCTCCAAGCCGCGTCGCTCGGTCGGTGGTCGTGGATGGTCACGCGTGTAACGCGTCCGCTCTCTGAGCTCAGTCGTTAGAGCGCCTGCCTCTCAGCCTGTCCATGGCGGGATGGGTGGGTTCGGGTCGCTTCGGCGCTCGCCGTCTGCCCTTGGTTGCGATGGCCGGCGGCCGGTGGCAGCGGTCGCTCAACGTCAGATGAGGTCAGAGGGCGTGGTCGATTGTGCTGAGCGTGCCGGCACGTTAAACTTCCGCCACGAAGTGCTGCCTTTGAATTTGGTTGGATGGGGCGGTCAGGGCTGACGCAACATGCCCTGCTTAGTGCGGGGTTTGATCTCAGAACTCCATCAAATCGATAAAAAGTCACCTTGTTGGGACTTGATGTCTAAAAAAAAAACACGCTGTGCTATGACCAGCGGAGCCGGCGGCGCCTACGGATGTCAATACGGCTGGCGCGGATTTATGGAGCTTCAGCCCTGCCAGCGTTGTTTCTGGACGCTGATCTGTGGTTACCATGAGGTTAGCTGTCCGGCGCTGTTGGCGCCCTGCCTTCCGGCTCGCACAAACCGGTGGGCTTTATCGCCGTGCCATTCCAAAGCGTTTCCAGCACGTGTGTTGTGCAGCCATGCTGACTCAATCTCAGTACTCGCCTGGGGCCACTACCCGCGCTGCCTCTCCCTCCCCCCCCCCCCCCCCACGGTACGTGACGACCCCGTCTGACCCCGCCCGCTCTCCGCAGGCACGTGGAACGCGGGCATGCCGGACGGCGGCTGGTGGCGCTTCCTGTACGGCTTCTGCATCAACCTGCTGAACTTCCTGGTGTGCGTGGTGGGGCCGGGCATGTACACGCGCGCCGTGCTGGTCATCATCCTACTGGTGCTGGTCTGCCTCGGCTCGGTCGTCGTCAGCTTCGGCCGTACGGCCATGGAGGTGGGCGCGGGTGCCGCGGGGACGCGGGAATGCGGGAACGCGGCTCGCGGGGACGTGGGGACACTGGAACGCGGTCGGGGCGCCAGCGGGCGAGCGGTGGGGAGCGGTGTGGTGGCGACGGCGGTCCGTGCAGCCAGCGCAGCGACTGATGCCCGACGTTGTTTGTGCGGCCTGAGAGCCTTCTTTTCGTAAAGCTATAATGACAGGTTGAACGTCCTGGGGGGTAAGGGGGGGGGGGGGGATTTCGATTCCCCGCTGCGGCGTATTGTGCAGTGTAGAATGCGGAAGCCGGGGTAAAACGCGGCTGTAATGACGGCTTCACTGCCGAGTTGTGAGCGCACTGATGAGTGGTCTTCTTTGAGTGAAATACCACGTGCAACGCACTAACCAGCATATTTGTTAAGCGTAAGTTCAGCAAAACGACACTTGAACAATTGACGTCAACCCGTGCAGCAATAGGATACGCTCGTATCCGGTAAATATGATACGTATAAGGGGTTCGCGCACATCTGTGGTGTGTTTGACATACGGCGAATACCCTGTGACCAGGCGGTGACGGCAGTGGCGGCACGGCGCCGGTGGCTCGTGCAGTCCCTACCCGACGCCTGACCCTCCTCGCCGGCGCGCCAGGTGATGCTGCCAGAAGCCAACATGCTGGTGCAGAACAGCACGTTTCGCGTCAACGCCACCTTCACCGGCTTCAACACATCGACGCTGGAGGCGAACCTGTGGCCGGCGTACGCGGCCGACTACACCGACAGCCAGCACGCCGTGCCCAACTTCTTCACCGTGTTCGCCGTCCTCTTCTCGGGCGTCACCGGCATCATGGCCGGCGCCAACATGTCAGGTCAGGGCGGAGCACCGGGTCAGGTCATGTCGCGGGACTGGGCCACAGATGATCGGGAAGCCTCGTCGGTGTCTGTGAAGGGGGCTGGTGACAGGCTGGGCCTAAGTCAGGGTACTGATCCGGCGCCAACATGCCAGCTCTGGTGCAGCGCAGAATCGATGGTGTCATGGAAGGCCACAGGGGCCAGCTGGATCAGGTCAAACTTCCGGACGAGGGCCAGCGTAGATCGCCAAACCATGCCGATCGCGGCAGGTTTTCATCGCCTACCAGCCATGGTCGAGCACTTCTTGGTCTTTCAGTGCCAGACTCCAGCCATCAGTCTGACGTGCTTGCCCAGTGACGTGGCGGCACCAGGCGTGTGTGGCGTCACGTGCAGTGTGACGTCACCTGCGTCGGTTCGCAGGGGAGCTGGCCAACCCGGGCCGAAGCATTCCGGGCGGGACGCTGCCAGCACAGGCCGTCTCGTTCTGCACGTACCTGCTGCTCTTCTTCCTCACCGCCGCCACCTCCTCCCACTTCCTGCTGGTCAACAACTACATCTACATGATGGACATCAACTACTGGTCCGGCTTCGTCTTCTTCGGTGAGGGCGCTTGCGTTGGTGGTCGAGCGAAGGTGCAGGGACGTATTAGAGGTGCTGTGTGCGTGTGGTGAGCATGTGACCGTGAGCGTATGGGCCGTCGGGGGGTGGTGGGCGGGGTGGGCTGACGTCCCACATGGTGGTTAGTGTTGCTAAGACCTGATTATTTCGTAATGTGTCGTTACAATCCATTTTGCCACGCAAAATGAATTTTAATGACACATAACAATGTAAAGGACGGGTGCTGTTTTTGCATCAGTGGGCCTTTTCCCACCGGATCACCATAATCGAGAGCCTCTTCAGACACACTCCGTTCAACAGAGGAGCGTTTGTTGCCGTCCAGGGGCAGCGTGTGTGCGTCCGCGGCATCGCTGGCATCGTTTGACGCCGGGCATGCCTCCGTTCCAGGCATCGTCTTGGCGACGGTTTCGGCCAGCCTGAGCAACTTGATGGGTGCCAGCCGGGTGCTGGACGCGCTGGTCAAGGACAAGCTGTTCGGTGCGTGCGTCCGCCGCCCACGCTCGCGCCGTGGCTGGCGCAGTCTCGGATTGCTATTGCCGCAGGATGGGAATAGTCGCCGCTGGCCCCTGGTGCCGTAAATCTATAGGTTTGCGCCATGTGAAAGGCCCACCGGTCTTTTTAGATGCGCTCGTAGAAGTGGAGTGGTCGCGGGTTTGCTCGCCTCTCCCCTAATGGATGGGACCCATTGCTTGCTTTAAAATCATTTGCACCTTGATTTTTGCGGCTTCTTGGTGAAATGAAACATCACAGTTTGCTTCCTAGCTTTTTTTAAAGAAATATCGTACCAATCATACAACATGCTTTTCCTCATACTGTGCCTGGACCCCATGATTATGTTCGTGTTTGACTGTGCTGTGCGGCGCCCCGCCGGCAGCGGTGTGGCCTCAGGGCTTCTCCGGGCCGCGTCGCCCCGCCGGCAGCGGTGTGGCCTGCGGGCCTCTCCGGGCCGTGTCGCCCCGCCGGCAGCGGTGTGACCTCCGGGCTTCTCCGGGCCGCTGTCGCCCCGCCGGCAACGGTGTGGCCTGCGGGCCGCTCCGGGCCGGGGTCCGTCGCCCCGCCGGCAGCGGTGTGGCCTGAAGGCCTCCCCGGGCCTCTCCGGGCCGCGTCGCCCCGCCGGCAGCGGTGCGGCCTGAGGGCCTCTCCGGGCGGCGGTCCGGCGCCCCGCCGGTCGGTTTGTGAGCCGCTCCGGATCTGGCCGTGCCGGCAGGTAACCTGCAGCGGCTGGTGGCCAAGACCACCTGGCACGGGAACCCGCTGGGCTCGCTGGCGCTCTGCTTCATCGGCGTGCAGCTGGTGCTGCTGGTCGGCTCGCTCAACCAGATCGCGCGCTTCACCTCCATCTTCTTCCTCATGTCCTACTTTGCCGTGCACCTGGCCACGCTCGGGCTCGAGTGGGCTTCGGCGCCGAACTTCAGGTGCGCGCGGACGGGGTCGGACAGTGGCGGGGGTGGGACAGGAACGCCAGTGGATGTCGTCCCACTTCTGTCGTCTTTTTTGTTGTTTTTTTTTCTCACACATTTTATGCCGGTATGGTCATCAAGAGCTGTTGATTCCAGGTGATACTGGCATTGCACAAGATAGGCCATGTGAGTTGGTGGCGCATGACACGGTGCCTGCACTATGTGCAGTTTCAAACGTGTTCAGCTAATGCGAGCATCTAGCGCACAAACCGTTCCTGCAAAGCCTGCAGTTTGGACTTGCGTCAGAGTGTCACTGTGTTCTCGCTACCATGTCTGCTCGTGTCGGTGTCTGCTCGCGCCCGTGTTTACTGACCTCGGCGACGCCGGTGTGTTCGGCAGGCCGGAGTTCGCCTACTTCACGTGGCACACGTGCTTGGGCGGCATGATCGGCACCCTGGCCATGTCGCTGCTGGTCAGCTGGTGGTGCATGCTCGTCTCGGTCGCCGTCTGCGTACTCCTGGTCATCCTCATCCACAACTTCTCGCCGGCCACCGAGAACAACTGGGGCTCGCTCTCGCAGGCCCTGATATTCCACCAGGTGAGCTGAGCTCGACCTGGCCACGTGGGCCGACAGGCGGACAGCTGACCGGCCGTGGCGCCGGCAGGCGGCCAGCTGACCGACCGTGGACCGACGGGTGGCCAGCTGACCGGTCGTGGGCCGACGGGCGGCCAGCTGACCGGCCCACGTGGGCCGACATGCGGCCAGCTAACCTGCCGTGGTGCCGGCGCACGTGTTCCACTAAGCCCAGCCCAAACGCGCGATCTGTTTTGGAGAAGTGGACGCTTGCGTGATACCGCGGAAACAGCTGGAGCTTCGGGCGATGTAAATTGTTTCAGTCACAACGCGGCTGCGACAAAACAATGATGGGCGCAAAATGACCGCGGATGTCGACGCGCCCGTCAGCCCAAATAAGAACTATAAAGCAATGAAATACTTGACGCGTGATGTCAGTTATCGATCTGCCTGAGGAGGGCTCCAGCAGCACGTCATCTGTACTGCGGGTCTGTATTGGGTCTGACGCGCGGCGTCGCTTTCAAGCGCAGGGTTCCACGTCACCACCGCCACGGTCGCGGCATATCTCCGGAAGTCCGCCTCGCGATCCGCTCGACGTCCACACGGCGTCCGCACGGCGCTGACGCCGTCCGCTTGCTCGTCCGCAGGTCCGCAAGTACTTGCTGCTGCTGGACCCGCGCAAGGCACACGTCAAGTTCTGGCGGCCGCAGATGCTGCTGCTGGTGGCCAATCCGCGCTCCGCCTGTCCGCTCATCCAGTTCGTCAACGACATGAAGAAGTCGGGCCTGTTCCTGGTGGCGCACGTCAAGGTCGGCACGCTGGACGACCGACCCGGCGACCCCTGCGCCGGCGAGACGCTCCTCTGGATGAAGCTCGTCGACCACCTCAAGGTGCGGCCGGCGCGTGGCGGCGCTTGGAGGGAACGAGTGCGCTTTGCCGCGATGATCGTGTCGTGAGCTGACCGTGTCGTGCGTGTCATGAGACCGGCCGTGACCTGAGGTCATCTTGACCACTGTGCTAAACTGTCCCGGCCCCGGCCGCGGCTTCTACGCGAGGGCGGCCGGGCAGCAGCAGGCGTTCAGTCGCTCTACCGCTGCGGCCAACCGCTCCGTGACCCGACCCGACCTGACCCGACCTGACCTGACCCGAACCCCAGGTGAAGGCGTTCACCGAGCTGACCCTGGCGCCGACCATCCGGGAGGGCATGCAGCACCTGGTGCGCATCTCGGGCATGGGCGGCATGAAGCCCAACACGGTCATCCTGGGCTTCCGGGACGACCACAGCCACGTCGACTTCCTCCGCAAGTGAGACTCGCCGGCCGGCCGGGCTGCTGCGTGACCGCGCCGCCCGCTGCGCCCTCCGCCACGCGGCGCGTGATGCCGACTGCGGCCTTCCCCACTGGGGCCCGGCACGGCGGCTAACCGGCCGTGCCTGCTTGTCAGCTTCGGGGTAGGGTGATGCGCCGTCTTAACGACAGATCTAGCTGACTGCCAGTCTCCGCTCCATAGCTAACGATATTGTAAGGCTTTTGTAACCCGCTCTTCGCTCATTCTGTACCCTCAAGCGGCATGAATGCTGTTCAAGCTAAGTACTTGATTCGCTTTACCGGTGGACGTAAGAAGCAAGATGTTCATGGCATGGTCCATGCATATATCAAGGTACCTGGATTACGGACTGATGCCACAGCGGTTCTTCAACGCGGCGTGTGCTGTCATCGGCACAGGCTGCACCTTTGTCCTGTGTCGCCCCCACACGTGCGTTCTTACTGTGCCCCCGTCTGCGCTTCGCTGTCGACTGAGTGCGCTCGCAGGCTCCGCTGTCCGCTGCCAGCACGTACCCGGCTTCACACCCTGCGTGGGTGGGGCGCATCTCCTCCATGCTGGCTGTGTGCGTGTGTGTGTGCCGTCGCCGTGCGGTGCGCGCGCGCCGCCATCGCCGGACCGCGTGCCACTAACCGCCGCCGGCCGGCTGCGTTCCAGGAGCTACCTGGACACGTTCAGGGCCAACGGCCGCGCCCTGCGCCCCCGGTACACCAGGTTTGCCCGTTTCCGTCTCTGTCTGCCGCCGGCCGCTGTCTGTCCCGGTTACACCGCCCGCGCCTGCACGTGTCTGTCGCTGGGCGGACGCGCCGTCTCCCTCCTCTCCCTCTCGCTGTCGGTGTGGGGCTCGGCCGGCTCGCGCCGACGGCTCGGCACCGCTCCTGGCGCCGCGGCACGCACCGCTCTGTTCGCCGACTGTGCGCGGTCCGCCGGCATTGGGTTTCAGTTTGGCGGCCGCGTCGCCGGCGCCAGCGGCCCGGCCCGGCCCGGCGGACACGAGGCTGGGCGTTACGCCGTGCGGGGCTGGTCGCGGTCTGTCCCCTCTCGCGCACGCTGTCACGGGCTCTGGCTGTCGGTCTCAGTCACCTGTCGCTTGGAGGCAGCTCGCAGGGTGAACACGAGGCGCGCTCCGCCGTACGTGCCGTGTGTGTACAGTTTGTGGAGGACATATAACAAAACCGTGCTCTTCTTTGGAGGGTTGTTTTGTGACAATGCTGTGTTTTTTGTAAGGATTAACAATATTTTGTGGCGTTGAGAAAGGAGACACACCAATAAATGTTTTATGTCCTTCTGGCTTCAAAAACTTTGGCTGCAAAAATGCGTTGCGGATAACTGCATTGTCCAAAAACGGAGTAAGATCGTGGGCTCGTATTTTCACATGATACAACACGCGTATGCTTAACCCTAAGTGTTTCCAACTTCTGACTGGATTGCGCGCATTATTGCATGTGCGTTCGTGTCTTCGTGTCCTTGTGATCTGCGTCACACACCCCTTCCGCAGACTCACAACGCTGCGTAGTGGCATTGTGCGTAGCTGGCTGTATAAGTAGACAGTGCAGCTTGGCTTGTTGGCTATGATTTATGCCAGCTACAGCACAGGTATTGGTGGCACATAGTTCATTTCCAAAGCTCTGCTCAGTGGTGTCCAGAAGTGGTTTTAGCAGGTAACCCATCAGCTGCGTCAAGTGAGACTGTGGGGCGCCGAGAATGCCACACCTACTTTTGCCGTCGGGTCTCATCGTGCGCGTGTGTGCGAATGTGTGCATTATGTGTTGTTTTTAGCTGTGCATGGGTTACCATTTGTGTAGCGCGTGCTGCGATCACGCTTTGCCCCTCGGCTGTATTGATGTTCATGTGCCGATCTATACTCACCGAGGCACTGCTGGCGCTCTCGCCGCTGCCGAGGTCGCTGAGTACAGTCTGGCGGTGGGGGGGGGGGGGAGGGGGGGGGCGGGGGCGGCGGGGGCGAGGAAACCTGTCATGCGCGATATCGGCCCGTTCTTTTCTGGCACCAGCGGCCGCCAGACCCGCGGAAAAGGAGACCAGGCCGTCGGTGGCGCCCGCCGACGGGGGGACCTGTTCTGCGGGCCTCTGCTCGACCCAGTGGGGACGGCCACGCTCTTCCGGCAGCTGCCGCCGGGCCCGACGCGAGCGTTGAGAGACGGCTCGGTGTGGCCCTCCCCCGGGCACCGACGCTCGCTCTCTCTCCCCCTCCCTCTGCCGGCGGTGTGTGTGTGTGTGTCTCGGGGCGCGCGCGGCCGCTGACGGCGGCGCCGCTGCCCTCCGCCAGCAGCCGGGAGCTGGACGTACTGCGGATGTCGGACCTGCAGTGTCCGCCCGACTCGGCCTTCCACCCGGAGCGGCTGCGCACCGACGCCGCCGACCCGGACGAGCGGCTCGGCCAGGTCTCGCCCGCCGAGTACGTGCAGATGGTGCGCGACCTCATCAAGATGGACAAGAACGTCTGCCTCTGTCGCTACTTCCACAACTTCGACAAGAAGGAGCTCGCCAAGCGGCTGTGAGTGGGGCGCGCCGGGCTGGGTGTGGCTGGGTTGGGATGACGTAGGTGAGCTTCGGGGCGTTCGCAGCGTGGACTCACTTCTGTGCGTCCGTGATAGCGCGTTAGAAGCGCATTTCTTATACGCGCTCGAAAAGCGCATTGTCAAGATAAGAGCCCCAACTAAGCAGGGCCTGTCCGCACCACGACAGCAGGATCGAAAGTGTGTGACACATGACACCCGTCAATGCGTCGCCCTGACAGGCAGAGAAGTGGAGCCCGCCTTGCCCGCCAGCTCCGTCCTCTGGCCACGGCGGGGTGCTGGGCAGCCGGCTGACGCGTGTGAGCCCCCTTCCAGTAAGCACCGCGAGGTGGTGCACATCGACGCGTGGCCCGTCAACTTCTTCGACACGAGCTCCACCTGGACCAGCGACGACGTGACGTCGCAGTTCCTGCTGCAGGTGTCCACCGTGCTGCTGATGGTGAGGCTGCCGCCTGGTGCCGGCGCGAGCAGGCGCGCGCCGGCCGCGGGGCCGGCAGATGCCGGCGAGCGCGCCGCGCCGGTGTGGAGCGAGCGCCGGGCCGGCTGAGCTGTCGTCGGCGCCGCGTGAGACGTGACCCCAGCGTGGCGTCTGTGTCCTGTGCTGCGATGATGCACCGCCGAACTGGGACCCGCTGGTGCCGGTCCACACCAACGACCGCGCGCTTCACGCGGCTCTGTAGGGAGGAAAAGGAAACGCGTTCACCGTCTCGGCCGTATGGTGGTGGGCGGTTTTGGTTTGTCGTTGTTGTCCTATTCTGTTAAAAATTGCTGGCCTCGCTGCGTATGGTGGCAACAGTGTGCAACCGGTTCAGAGACGACACGCACTGACCTCCCACGGATATCGCGCCCCTGTAGTGGCCTTGTATCGCCAGGAGGAAGTGACCGTGTCCATTCAGGTAACGGTGGCGCCATCTTTGTCGGGGTGTCGACGGTGACGTCACCCGTTTGCCGACGGTGACACCGCCGGCGCGGGCAGGCAATGACGTCACCGTCCGCTCCGTCCGCAGACCCAGGCGTTCCGCGGCACCACGATGCGGCTGCGCGTGTTCCTGTGCGTCAGCTCCAGCGTGCCGGCCGCCTCGGTGACGCGCCTTCACGACAGCCTGCTGACCAGCATGCAGGAGATGCGCATCCGCGGACAGGTCAGGACGGGGGCGGACAGGTCAGATCAGGTCAGGTCAGGTCAGGTCAGTGCAGGAGCGGAGAGAACCGCACATGTGACTCCAATGGCTGAGCCCTGACGCTGGCGACCACGGATTCTGATCATTGTGTGACCAGGTTATGCGGAGGAGCGGACACCATATCAGGTGTGTAACTGAAGAACGATCTTCAGTATGTAGTCCTTTTCACGCTGCCTTCGCCCGTTGCCGTGGCGTGTGACGTGGCAGGCCATACAGAAAGCTTTGTCACAGTCATTACTAACAAGGAAGTGAAGTCAGGGTCACACCCTGCACGATCCGACCACACGGGGTCGGGTCGAGTGTCCGTGCCGGGGGACCGCGGCTAGGCGTCCCCGCTCGTCCGGTCGGCGCCTGGCTGTGACGCCTGCCGACCGTTCCAGATCGTGGTGCGCGTGCTGGACGAGATGCGGGAGGAGGTGACGAGCGTGGCCGGCGCGTCCGACGCCTACGTCGCCAGGTTAGCGCCGCTGCTGGACAGGCGAGGGCGATCTGGGGGGGGGGGGGGGGGGGGGCTCTGTCCACTTGGCCACCGGCTCACGAACGTACATTGACACATGTGGTCGTTTGGGGGCGTTGCTCCGCGCGAAATATTGAGGGGAAAGCATTTTTCGTGAAGTTTATGCCGGGCACTTGCAGTGGCTGTGCCCAAGCACTGGCGGATAAAACACATCCCAGCTCCCGCTAATCGGCCTGGCGCCAAACCATCCAAACCAATCGCCTCGCGAGCCGATCGACTCGACCAAACCCAGCGACTGCCTCGCGATCCTCCGGCGTTTATGTTGTATAATGTGGCGACCACGCACCCGTGAAGCCCGAACTAGCCGCGCCGGGCGACCGCCTTGGCCTGACCGGTGCGCCGTGTACCTCAGCATCAACCAGCGGATCCGGTGCGAGTCGGCCGGTACGGCCATCACGTACCTGTACCTGCCGGCGCCGGCGGCACCGTCCGGCGACGCGGCCGACGTCGGCTACCTGCGGCACCTGACGGCGCTCACCGACCAGCTGCCGCCCACCGTGCTGGTGCACGGCGTCAGCCGCGTCACCACCACCGCCCTCTGAGGGGGCGGCGCGGCGCCCGCGGCCGAGGAGGCGGCGACGCCGCAGGCGCCGGTCCCGGCAGGCGGCGCCACCGGCACCGGCTCCCGCCGAGGGTGGCTCCGTTGTCGCCGGCTTTGGGGCTGGCCACTGGTGCCGCCCCCTTGGGGAGTCACCTCCGGAACCATCGGCACCATCGGCACCCTTTCGAGGGTTCGCCACATGACACGGTTCCAGTGACCTGGTGAGGCTGGCCACGTGGTGTGGGGTGGCGACGTAAGAGCCAGCAGTGATTTGGCAACCCGGACTTGGGTCATGCCGCTGTAGGCCCCGCTGCCGCGCGGAGGCTCGTATTTGTGTTGTCGGTGGGTGTGGGCCCCTGGCCCGAAAGTCCGGCCGAGCGGTGATCATCGTCTGGTTACATGATAGCCTGCGTCCATTTACACGTGGCGATCCGCGCCCATTTCCACGATCTACGTCCAGCTGCTGGGTGATCTGCGTCTCGCGGAAATGTTGGTGGGTTAAAGAGCCAGAGAAGCCCCCGCCCGTGCTAAGGCAACTCTGTCGATTGCACGTATCAAAAGACGATGATAAGACGTGCGAGGTGCGCGTGGTATTAGTCAGCTTAGTCATTGCATGTTTAGGAGGTTATATATCGGCAGGCGAAGCGCAGTGAATGAGACCAATGGTGATTGCGTTATCAAGGCTCGGATTAATTGCTACGCACATTGGCAGCATTTATCCCTATTTTATGGCACATCTTGCTGGGTTGTGAAGCCAGATTACTTGCATCCAAGTACCTTGCTGAGGGTCGATTTATACTATATACACCAACAATGTCTGCAGTGCCTTTCGGAAGCCTGGGATGTCATGACTTGTGGCTTGCACATGGTCACGACCATGTAAGCTTCGCGGCATGCAGGTGCTCGCCCCGATGGCCGTGCGTCTCGATGTCGATCGTTTTAGTTACGGCCGGTGCCCCGCGGCTAGCGACCACCCATTCATTGTCGGCTAGAGCAAGCTGACCAACTGCGTCATGGAGATGAGATGGGCGGGTTGGCCGTGCACGAGGTGCCTGTAGGATATTCCAAAGAGCAGAGATAAAAACATTCGAATGTGACCGAAGTTCTTTCTAGTTGTGAGCGTTTGTTGGAGCTAAGCGGCAGGCAGGCAAAGAAAGTGTTTAATTATGGGTTATCTTTAAGTTCTATGAAAGTAGTATGTGCGTGCTGATGAGAATGCATGTCCGATGCGACGGTCTAGGTTTTGCTCCGGTGTTCGCACGCTGTATTTACAGAGAAGACGCCGGGCAGAAAGCGGCTAGCGGTTGTCTAGAGGCATCGAATGCCTTCAGGAATGGGATGGAAATTTAGTTACAGCGTAACGGGTTCGGCTTTTGCGTCATTAAACAGTCGTGAATTTTTATTCCAACCCCCTCGTCAGAATTTCCGCGCAGCATGACAGCGACTGACCGGCTGCCTTCCGGGGCTGCGCGCGGTGCCGACCGACCTGTGATCCACGCATGCGCGGTGCTCGCTGGGAACGTGTGACAGTGTGGTGATGGTTTCTGGATTATTGCCGTCTTCCTCGTCTTTTATGCGGTTTTGTCGCCCCTGCTTCCAGTGGCCGCGTCTGTGTCTGTGTCGCCGCCGGTATCGTGAGGCAGTTTGTTTGCGTGTGAGCCTCCAGCGCTGTGTGTCAGTATTCCGTGTCGCAGTGGGCCGGCGTGTCGCTGATGCTTGATGGAAACTGAGACGCTTGAGCGTCCAGCGCTGTGTACCAGTATTCCGTGTCGCGGTAGGCCGGCGTGTAGCTGATGTCCGCGGGGAAACTGAGACGGCGAGTAGACTAGTCGTGATCCGCCCGGCATTTGAGCCATGACGCGTTGGTCGTAGGTCGCACCACGTTCCGAACAGCTGCTGAGAGCCGCCTGTGGCCGGCAAGACGAGGAGAATGCTGTCGCGGATGGTGATTCCAGTGTGCTTGTGTCCTCTGGGGTGTACGCTATGAGCACGCATGCATCGGATGTCTGCGCGGAAGGTGTGTCACCCCTGCTTGACTGATGTCTGCCGCTGGTACTGTTTCTGTAGGTGCACCGTATTTATATTTTATCGCTGTAGCGTGATTTGGTGTCGCGACTGGTGCTACTTTCGCTCAGCCAACCGCTTCTCCATATTCCGCGCTAACTTAACACGGCGTCATTGTTCCTATTTGCTGAGGGTTTTATGTTACCTTGCGATTGGATGCGAAGTGCGAGTGGAATGACCGGCGGCACCTTCACGATGTTCTATTCCAATACATTCGAGCTTTAACGATTTCGTTGGCCGTGCATCGCTATTTTTCTGTGAGAGACATTCGACGCGATTGCGCTGTGCTTGAGCCAATAATCCGATAATCTGACGAGATGGTGATGGGGCAAACATCGTGAGGTAGGCATGCAGGCGGTCGAGCACGAACCGCCAGATGGCGGAAGGAGGGGAGCGCAATCTCTTCGGCAGTCTGCCAAATTCTGCGCCCTTGGGTCTACGAATGTTGTTATTCACGCAAGGGATGGACTCAGTCGTGCCTTTCGGTCATGTAGCGGCGATGTGGATATTCAAATGAGTCACAGCTTACATCCCGCTGTGAAAATTTCGTTGGAAGAGGCCTTCGACCCATTTCTTAGGTCATCTTCGCAGAGGACGTACATAGGAAGTGTGTGGGGGGGGGGGGAGGCGCACAGGCTCGCGCTCATGCCAGCAAATGTTTTAGGCAGGAAACATCCTTGAATCTATCACAACCATGCGAATTAAGCCCCGCTGAAGATATCCATTCATAGGAAGAAACGGCGTTCATATTTTGAATGAAAGTACCCTGTATGCTGCATAGGCCTGCTAGTTCGCTTGTGAAGTGAGTGTATGTAGAATCTGGAGTATGACTGGGCCACCACAACTTTAAGGGTCTTTAGCCATGATGCAGTCAATGAGGAGGCCCACGGTGCCATCTGCATGAAAGTTTGCATTTGTGTTTTAGCACCGCGGGAGTAAAGAGCGTGAAAAGTATTCATTGGACTCCAAGTGTAGCCGAGTTTCAGCGTTCAGTCGTAAAAATACGCGTTAAAGATCTGAAAGGCGAGCACTTACACTTTGAGGACGTAGATTAGCAGGAACGTAGATTCGCCAAATGAGTTGGAGTAGGGAGGCTGAACACCGGAAATTACTCAAGACTCAACCTAACCCAAATGTAGCAATTGGGTTAGTGAAGCTAAAACCGGTTTCTCCCCCGATTGGGCCCGCTCTACTCAAGGTTGGGGGAGGCATGCGGCTAGAGCACAGGTCGGGGGAGGCTGCAGCCCCCTCCCCCCCAACTGAAAGGAAAACTGCACCCCTGGCCCTAAGTATTGTACTCATGGTCCGATTGCACCGCGCGACCACTGCTCTACAAGTATAACCAGTATGAATTTGCCTACATCGCACACCAAGTACAGGAGCATGCATTTTGGCGCAGCCGCCACATATGTGGCGCTTTTGACTGCAACACGTGCGGGGCGAGAGTCTTCGGCCGGTTTCCCATGGTTAGAGGATGTAGATAGTGCGTGGCTCAATTTGCTTGTAATATACGGCCTTTGTGTTTCGAGTGTGTATAATATAATACGAACAGCTGGTCGCGCAGAACGGGCGACATATTTTGTGGTGATTTTCGTCGTCAGATTTTGACAAAAAGCTGCAGCAAGGGTAAGTTAAACACCAAAAATATTTTGTTTGTGCATGCGCGCTGGCTGTCCGTTGTAAGGGACATTCAAACTCACCCATTTGGTTCGGCACATTTGAGTCATTGTTACCTCATTGTACCTCATATGAAATGTGATGTTGCTGATTGATTTCTGGCAACTATGCAATAATGCATCTTGGATGGTTTCCATCTCGCTCAGAAATGAGCATGGCTTGCTCCTCAAAATGTGTGATAGCTGTGGATGGTGGGTGTGTGCTGCCCCCATGCGTGAGAGGGCTTCAAAACCGTCACATTGGGACAAATTCAAAGCACTGAGGAGAATTGTGACCCAAGTTACCAAGTTTCAAATCATAATCCAAGTTGGCATGGTGTTTGCCAGGTTTGGAAGACTGATGCATAGTTTCCACAGGAGCAATCTGTGAGGATTTGGCTGAACAGTGCTCATTGGTAGTCATTTTCAGTGCTTTGCTAGCATGGCAGCCAGTACTTTTGGTTTGTGCAGTCACTGTTACTAATCAGTGTTGCTGTTGGGCTAACCAGCTATTGCGTGCCCAGTGCGGGGAGGCCAGTCCCAATCAGCAGAACTGCTTGAATTGGGCCCTAGTGTACACAATGGCATGCCATTGCCAGAGAAACATTCACATGGGCTGGTACTGGCACTGGTTTGCTACAACATGGTCAGTGCAAACACCAAACTACCAGTACTGTTTTTGCACTGTTTGCTGGTGTGATATTCAAGTTTTCCAGATTCATTTCTAATCTTTGGTAGGTGACAGTTGTTGGAGCATTCCATCCTGTTGTCTGTCCTGATGCAGCCATGTAAGGCTCATGTTGAGCATACAAAAATGTCATGCTCTACTTGTGCAGCTTAAGGGGAATGTTCACATTTGAAGATATCAAAGTAAGCATCATGTATGGTGAAACAAGTTCTCTTAGAGCCATTTGTATGCCTTTAAAGTGGAAATGACTGCTCTAGACAGCATAATTCTCTGGTTAGTAGATTTGCTCCACAACATGTCATGGTTTGATTATGTCATCATAAACTGTTGTTATATCTGGAAATCATGCTCACCAACAATATGAACCCACAATGATGTATGTCTTGGCCCTGATTGCCTGCATGGCTTATGGAATCTCAGGATTTGAATGATGTTATTCTCATGTCATGAATGCCACGGTGACTGTGCAGTACTTTCCCCACTATAACTTTCCCATTGTCAGGGGTGTGTAGCTTAGAAACAAGACAAAGGTAGGTCCTAAGAAGAGCAGAATTGTAAACCACCAAAAGTTCTCCAAGATGGCTAGTGCAGTTCAAAACCCCATATCAAGGTGGAATGCACCCTTTAAAATGGCCTAAATACCTAAGAGATGAATTTTGGATACTGCATAGTTTTACTTGCCTTTACAGATTTGTTGTATTTTCTCATTCAAGTATGCATGGAATAGTTCTCTTTACTCTTGTCCTTTTCTGCCCTTTTATGATAGTGCTAAGGAAAACCACTCAGTTCCATCAATTCCAGCATCAGGAACATCTGTCCAGTGCATTTAACAGTTTCATAAACATAGGCAGCAATGTCCAAGCTGTATGATACCTACCCACAGAAATCTTACACTTGGCGACATTCCCAGAGTCTGCCACCATGGCGACGTCGCTGGCCCGCCAGCTCGAGCGGCTGGCGGCGCCCCAGAGTGCCCTGGTGGTGCACAAGAAATCACGACCCTCGCTGTTGTTCGACAAACGAGAGGCGGCGCTATTGGACAGGGACACAGTCTTCTCCATAGGTAAGCATATGTGTGCTACTGCAAAACTGCAAGAAGCATAAAGTGGTTGACTATAGAAAGACACACAGGCAGTGTCATTCCACAGGTTATGTTGATGGGGTGGCATTTGTTTTGTAGGCTTGCTTTGAGCTGAAAATGCCTGGCTGTCTTACTCCATGTTGTCTCAGTTGATCCAGCTTGTCAAAGCCGAGCTTCTGAGAGAAGCGTGTGGTGTTTCATTTCGGTAGCAGTTACTGCCGGCAAGCTATGCATCGTAACAATGCAGGCTTCCAGAGGCAAGCAGGCCTGATTTATTTATCTAGGCTGTAAGTACAGATTTGGGAGGTGTTGTATACATTGCTTCATATGATGCCTATTGTGTAATGCATTATGCAGTGCTGACACCTTAGGCCATGCCGTGCCAGAGCAGTGAGGCTGTCATAGCAGCGAACAGGATATTGTAATTGAGCACCCACCCATCACATACCCATCTGCTTGACCTTTCATGTGGCATGTTGCATCTGTTGCATGTTTTGTATGCATGACTTTTCTTGTCTTGCATTACAGGTAAAACTCATTACTACCCTTTTTGGAAGTTCCTGATAGGAGGCTGTGCAAATCTGTGAGTTACTTTGTTGTAGCAGCTAGCATTCCAGTTTGAGCCTCGCTTGATAGAATATGTTTCCACCTCAGGTCTGGATGGATTTGAAGACCTTCTGAACCTGAACCCAGCATTTGTTAAGTACCAGGAGACTCTGTTCTCGGAGAATGCCAAGACAATGGAGCGTGCTGTGCAGACAAAAGAAGTCAACGACCAGCTGGACGAAGTGCTGGAAGAGTTCCTCTGCCTGGCATGTCCCTATTTTCTGTTGAAACCAACACAGAAAGCCCTGGAGTGGCTTGTATACAGGTGTGTATTGTATCGTTTTTCACGGTGTGACCGTGCTGGGCGTGGGGTGACAAACTATGTTTCATCATTCCTGTTCATTCATGTTTTGCTTAGTGATTTGACTGCACCCTATAATGCTGTTTTCTTCTTCTGGTTTTTTTTTTTTGGGGGGGGGCTCGGAAGCCCATTTTAATTTGGCTGTGGTAACAATTAACATGTGACGGAGCGTACGGGCCTCTAGCCATATCCCTCTCTTTCAGGTTCCACATTCACGAGTTCAACGTGAATGCCCTACTCCGATGCATCTTCCCGTACCACGATACCAACATCTTCGTACGGGCGTTGCAACTACTGCGGCTTAAGGAGGAGACCAACAGGTGGCACTGGTTGCACCCGCTGCAGAACCCAGGGGTGCCACTGACGAAGGCGGCGCTAGCGGTCCAATGCGCGGAGAACCTCGGCTTCATGAAGTTCCTGTGCCTGATGAATAAGAAAATGATGAAGGTGCGTCGACTTCCGCGTGGGAAGCTTACGTGACGTCATGGCAGCTACAACCTTGGCACGGTAGCCGACGCGCGATAGGGTTATTGAAGCCACGTGGCCCTTCCGGGCCTCCATCCGTCGTTCAGTGATGTGACCTCTCTAAAATCATGGAAAGTCGTGTCTCATTGAGACTCCTGTACCTGAGCGGCTCCTGCAGGGTTCCTGACCATGTGCCAACCCCGTTCCGCTGCGACCTCTCGGGGAGTGCCCTGCTTCAGGCGCAGGTCCAGTCGCTTCACCGTGGGCAGTGTCATGCGGCGCCTCTAGCGGCGGTACGGCGCCCTCCCGCCCCTCGCCCCTCCCCCGTCTACCCTTTCTTTTCCGTGCGGCAGGTGCACGGCGCCGGCTCGACGGCGCTGCATGCACCCGTTGCGTTCTTCGTGACGGCGCTGTCTGCCGGCCTGGAGCGGTGCGCGGCCGTCTCAGAGCCGCAGGTGGCGCTGCTGGTGCCTCACCTGCTGCGCTGCCTGGGCTCGCCGCTGGCCGAGCTGCGCGCCGGCGGCTGCATGCTGGTGGGCCAGCTGGCGCGGCGCGCCGCCCTGTCGGGCGCGCTCGCCGACCGGCTCTTCACGGCGTTGGCCAAGGTGAGACGAGCCGCTGGGGACGGGTGGACGACGGTCAGACGGTCTGGCGGACGGGAGTCCCCGCCTTGGCTGGTCAGGTGCCCGAAGATGATATTTGAGGCTTGTATTTGTCAAAGAACCGCACTCTTCTGTGATGCGCTTGTAGAGCGTGTGTGAGATGATGGAGAGTGCCTGACAATACAGGAGGCGGGTGCCGTGGGGTCGGACCTCGGCGCTCCCGCCCCTCCGCCCGGTGACGCGCGTCTGCTCCCGCAGGATCTGTCGGAGCCGCTGGCGGGCGAGCGTGTGACGGCGCTGGCTGTGCTGGCGCAGAGCCAGACGCTGGCGCTGGCGCCGGCGGCCGCCCTGGAGCCGCTGAGCCCGAGTCTGCCGGCGCTGACGGCCGCCCTCGCCGACCTCAGCCAACGCTGCTCCGTCCTGGTGCGGTCCGGGGCGGGCGTCACGCTGCGTGGCTGGGTCGGTCGGGGGCGTGGGAGGGCGTGTGCGGCTGGTTTGGTAAGGGGGGGGGGAGGATCTCGCTGGTGTCGCGCGAGGCTGCTGTGTCGACGGCATGGACGCAGATGATCGTACGTGCCGCCCAGAGACTCCCAGAATCGGAGATGCTGCAGCGCGGCAAGTGGTCGCGGGCTCGTGAAGTCCTTGTTATTCGACATAGTTCCTTGTTTTATAAAAATGCTCCATACGCATCACATAGTGCAACGGAGTGCTGTCACAGAGCAGTGCTAGGTGCCTGGGGTTGGCCACCTTAGTGGACACGTGATGCATGTGCATGGTATTCTGGGATGTCGGCTCCTTGCGCCCGCTATGCAATACCAGTCGCCTCTTTCAGCAATTGCTCAGCTGCCTCCTGCGGACGTGTGTGCTGGAGTCGGCCAAGGGAGACGCCACCGCGGGTACCATGGCAACGGCGTTGATCAGTGACGTCAGAGTGGAGGACCCGCGAGAGCAGGAACGCATCATTCGGTCAGTAGCCTCAACTGATTGCATATGGAATGGCATATACTTGGGGTGGAAGTGTCATCTTTATCGTTTTTTAGTTTCCTTTTCATGCTAATATGTAAGTTTATGTCTACATGCTGAAAGCTCAGCCTTCGGCTAGTTAGCCGCACTTGTACTGTTTTTCTGGGTCATAACCCGATGTTTTTGCAAGGATCACTGGTGCTTATTCTGACTTAGTTTTCTCATTCCCTACGTCGGTGGGCCCAGCAGCTCTGGTCGATCCCATGTCGCTATTCCCAGTTGTGACCTGTCCGCCGGCGTTCCCTCTGACGTGGCCTCTGCATTTGTAGGTCACTGACCGAGCTGTTCACGGCCGGTGAGGCGGAGGCTAAGCCGCTGCTGGCCGCCCTCTGCCCGCTGCTGGCCGTCACGGAGCGCATGTACCCGGCGCCGTTCGACGCCGCGCTGGGCGCCGCCGCCGCCCCGGCCGGCGGTCGGCTGGCGCCGCTGCTGGCCGCCCTCCGAGGACGCGTCGGCGGCGCCGGTCAGTCACGCCCCGCGGGCAGTGGGAAGGGGGAGGGGTGAAGGCTCAGTCACGCCCCGCGGGTAGTGGGGAAGGAGGAGGGGTACAGGCTCAGTCACGCCCCGTGGCCGGTAGGGGCAGAGGGAGGGGTACAGGCTCAGTCTCGCCCCGTGGCCGGTAGGGGCAGAAGGAGGGGTACGGGCTCAGTCACGCCCCGCGGGTAGTGGGGAAGGAGGAGGGGTGCAGGCCCAGTCACGCCCCGCGGGTAGTGGGGAAGGAGGAGGGGTAGCAGGCTCAGTCACGCCCCGTGGCCGGTAGGGGCAGAGGGAGGGGTACAGGCTCAGTCTCGCCCCGTGGCCGGTAGGGGCAGAAGGAGGGGTACGGGCTCAGTCACGCCCCGCGTCCGGTAGGGAAAGGGGAGAGGGGTACAGGCTCAGTCACGCCCCGCGGCCTGTAGGGGCAGAGGGAGGGGTACAGGCTCAGTCACGTCCCGCGACACATGGCTCGTGGGGGTAGGGGTGGGAAGCCTGCTCGGCGCTCGCAGTCGGCGCCAGTGATGAACTAAGGAGCGGCCTGTGGGGTTTTGTGGGTGGTGCGGCGGAATGAGGCAGCATTATGGCGTGAGCGTGAGTCGGATAGACCGTGCCGACTATAGATTGCGATTGCCGCGTCCCCGAAGTCCCGAAGGTGTGTCCCGTGTCCCAAACGCGTCGCCGAGGCTGGAGTACGTTGGTTTGCCCTGCGTGGTGCACCGTGTGGCGCAGCCAGATCCGGGTCTGTCTTCGAGCCACTGACACGGCAGACCGGAGTCAATGCCACGTCTCTGCGGAGCTCGCTGCCGGAGAATGAGAAGGGTGGTATTGCGCCGCACGTGCTCGCTCCACTGGACTCGCCGCTGTCGCCCGCCGTGACGCTCGCTCGGCTCCGCAGTGGGCTGCGGCGTGTTTGTGGATCTGAACCACCCGGAGGAGAGCACCCGGCACGAGGCCGTCAAGCAGCTGCTGACGTCACTGCGCCGCGGTCAGGTGAGGTCAGGCGGTCTGGTGGCGTCACTGCGCCGAGGTCAGGTGAGGTCAGGCGGTCTGCTGACGTCACTGCGCCGGGGTCAGGTGAGGTCAGGCGGTCTGCTGACGTCACTGCGTCGGAGTCAGGTGAGGTCAGGCCGTCTGGTGGCGTCACTGGGCCGGGGTCAGGTGAGGTCAGGCCGTCTGGTGACGTCACTGCGCCGGGGTCAGGTGAGGTCAGGCGGTCTGGTGGCGTCACTGCGCCGGAGTCAGGTGAGGTCAGGCGGTCTGGTGACGTCACTGCGCCGGTCGGGTGAGGTCAGGCGGTCTGGTGGCGTCACTGCGCCGGGGTCAGGTGAGGTCAGGCCGTCTGGTGGCGTCACTGCGCCGGGGTCAGGTGAGGTCAGGCGGTCTGGTGGAGTCACTGCGCCGGGGTCAGGTGAGGTCAGGCGGTCTGGTGGCGTCACTGCGCCGGGGTCATGGGTGGCGTCATGAGTCGGCGTCTGTGGCGTCCTGCGGGGTCAGGCGAGAGCGGTCTGGTGGCGTCGCTGCGCCGGGGTCAGGCGAGGTTGGGCGGCCTGATGACGTTACTGTGCCGGGGTCAGGTGAGGCCGGGCAGTCCGCCGCCGATGGCGGATGGGGACTGAGTTCTTCGCGTCAGCCGCGGGCGGCGCCTTGATTGGATTGGCTTGAATCTCACACTTGGCGATAGTTACACAGGGATAGATCGCCTCGGTTGGAGCGCTCGAACAATCTAGATCGTCGTCATTGGGACTGGAGGACGCACTCAGCTGCTGAGGCTATATGGTGCCGCCTGCCTATCACCTTGGCAGACGGGCACTGGGAGGGGGGGGGGGCGAGAGGGATCGAACCCCGTTTCTCTGGTCTCCCGGACGTGCCGGCATTCCAAACCGCTGGGTGTATTATCCAAACACCGCACTGAATCATATCGCGAATGCGGTCACGAGTCATCTTCCGGAGCGCCGAGAAGTTGCGGCAGATGTAGCAGAAGTGCGTGCTCGTGAAGTGAGGGTGTTTGCGGCCGGCCCAGCCGCCGGCCTGACCTCTGTGTGACCCCGTCGCCAGGTGGCGGACAGCGAACTGGTACGCTCGGCCCTGCTCTCGGCCCTCGCAGACGAGTCGGACCGCATCGTCAAGCTGGCGCTCAAGGTGCCCGTGGAGAAGAGTCTCGAGCTGGTGTCGTGGGAGGAGGTACGTGGGCGCCGCCTCTGCGCTGCGCTCCGCCAGGAAGTTTCTGCACCGACATTGGTGTAGAGGAAAGAGCAGTTGAATGGTGTTGAGAATGTGAATGGGCTTGACATTCCAGGCCTGTCCACCGATGTTTTTGTGTCGGTCGACAGGAGTAACAAAAGATGAGAGGAGAACGAACCGGACCTTTTGTCTTCATCATGTGTGCTGTTCTGTTCTGTGTTGAGCTGTTCTGCTTTGTATTGAGCTGTTCTGCTCTGTGTTGAGTTGTTCTGCTCTGTGTGGAGCTGTTCCATTCTGTGTGGAGTTGTTGAGCTGTTCTGTTTTGTGTTGAGCTGTTCTGTGTTGAGCTGTTCCGTTCCGTGTTGAGCTGTTCTCTTCAGTTGACCCGTTGGCTGCTGCGTCCGGCAGCTGTCCGGCCGGCTGACCACGTGCCTGGACGCCGGGCACGGCGATCAGGTGCGCTGGCTGTGCGCGCGCGCTCTGGCGCGCCTGGAGACGGCCGTGGGCGGCGGGCTGGACCGGCCGCCCAACGCCGCCCTGCTGACGGCCCTGCTGCCGGCCGACTGGAGCGACACCACCGCCGAGGAGCTGCGCCGTGTCCTGGAGCAGCCCGTCTGCCCCGGTGAGAGGGGGGGGGGAAGGGGGGCTGGGGAGCACGGGGTGAACTGTGGCCGGGGAGTTCACACAGGGAGAGTGGCTGTACGACGGAGAAAGGAAGGTGCTGGGTATCCCTCCGAGGGGAGAAATGCAACCGCCTGCCCCTTTAAGGTTTATGTGGGGATGACCTGTCTTCAGCAGAAGGAGGGGGTGGGGCGGGGTGGCGCCACTGTATGTCCGTTTGGCGTACCAAAAGCGGGACGAGAGTGAAGTGTGGTTCCTTGTGGGGCCTGGTGAAGCTTGTGAGTGTGGTGCCCTGCGTGAGCACGACTAGGGCTTTTTCCGGTTAATTCAGACATCAACCTGTCCACCTTCATGTATTTCGAAATCATACAGTTGTCGGGATGGGAGTGTGTTGAACGTCTCGCCCGTTTCTATGAAGCGTTTAATTCAAGGCGTTACCGCGAGGGAAACCGGTGGGCACGACCACAGAGGAGCAATACTGAGCACTTAAGCATAACAAGGACATATATTTAAACAATAATCACTGACATGCAAACAGTATTGAGCAGAGCGCCGCGTGTGCCAGCCAGACGCCACACACACCACCGCGCGCCTCTCCGTCTGTGGCGTTCTGGCTGGTCCCTGACGTCGCCCGGTTGGCAGCGCTGGCCGCGTTCCTGGACGCCTCGCCGGACTGCGGGCGCCCCGCATACCTGACCGCCGCGCTGGACCTGCTGGCGGCGCAGCTGGGCGAGCTGCCGGCGGCGGCGCGGCGCGCCACGCTCGCCGCCCTCGCCGGTCGGCTGGCGCGCGGCGAGGTGCGGCGGCCGGCGCGCGTCGCCGCCGCCGCGCTGGCCGCCGCCGCGCTCCACCGTGACGCCGACGGCGCGCCGGAGACGCTGGCGCCGTTGCGACACCTGCTGGAGGACGGCAAGGTGTGGGCAGGGGAGTGGCGGCAGCAGCTGGAAGGCGGCTCGCACCGGGGCTGTTGTTGCCGCTCGCTTTGTCATTTGAGTGGGCTGTGAATCGTGATCGTCCTGCACACGAAACGCTTTGGAAATAGCTTCACAGTTAGGCATTGGCACTGAAGTGCTTCGGACGAATTCGCTGAAAGAGGGCTTCGCGATCGGTTACCGCCTCGCGTGTGGGCCTGACCACGCCGCGGTCTCCGGCAGCTGAAGGTGTCGGGCGCCCTCTCCGCCGAGCTGACGCCGCTGGACCTGGTGCGGGACGCGGAGCACGCGTCACCGGCCGCCGCGCTGCTCTGCGTGCTGGTGGCTGTCGTCGACGCGGCAGCCGAGACAGGTGCGGCGCGCGGTCCCCGGAGTTTGCACGGCCTGTGATCTCATGGCGTCGCTGCGTCGGATTAACGCGGTGCGGAGGTGCCGCGGAGGGTGCTCGTCTCGTGGTTATGGCTGCATCGTGCTGTTCGCGGCTCACCCGAACAACAGTCCGGCAGAGACGGCCGCGAGCCGTCGTCTCGGCGCGTGGAGACGAGATGTCGCTGTTGGCATCACAGTCCCGAACGCTGCGGTGCCGGTGGCGTCCGCCGCTCCAGCGGGGTGGTCATGTTACCGGGGCGACCGCCCGTGCCGATCACTGCCGCGGCCGCGCGTGAGACGCGCTGAGTCCAGTCGTGATGCTTCGTTGGTTCAGCGTGTGCCACCGGATCGGCGGCGGCCGGGTTTGTGTCGCGCTGTATGTCGTGCCAGGCGCTCGCGTGATGACAGGAGGCGCCGATCGGTGCCGTCCCCGTCTCCGCGTGCTCCCAAGTAACGGTCGCCGTGCCTGTGCCGCCCAGACGTCTCCGACATCCAGTGGTGGTCGGCGGCGGCGGCCGACTCGGAGCGGCTGGCAGCTCTGGTCGCCTTGTACCGCTCGGCCGCCGTCGGGCTCAGCCAGCCCCGCTCGCGCTGCCGCCCCCTGCACCAGGCCGTCGTGGCAGCCCTCTTCAAGGTGAGACCGGCGGCCCAGGCTGGGCCGGTCTGTGGCTGCGGCTGGTCGGCGCGCACAGACCAGCAGGGAGCAATGCCGCTGCTGTTGGGGAGACGGGGATGGTGCGGGGAGCGGGTGAGGCCTGGTTTGCCGGATAGCACCATCAAGGTCATGGCTCTTGTGCATCTGTCCTGGTCAGAAGGTGACTTGAAGGCCTGACTTGGCCTTGTGTCACCCCATCGTCTCGTTTTGTCGCCCTGTCCTGTGGATCACCGGGCGTAACGTTCGCGATAACCGTTAAGATCCGATGCAACCCCCAGCACAACTGTCTGTCCTCCTCTCGCTTCCCCCCCCCCCCCCGCGGTCACGCGCAGCCGGCTGCCGCCACACACGGCACCAGCGCCCTCTAGCGGTGTGCTCTCGTCACCCGGCCCGTGCCGCCTCGACAGGCGCGTCTGCCGGCGCTGGGCGGTCAGCTGGCGTTCCTGGCGCAGTTCTGGTCGGCCGAGGCCGGGCTGCCACCGCAGGCGCCGGCCGAGCTGGCCGCGCAGGTGGCCGCCCTGGTGATGGCCGGCGCGCTGCTGGCGGCGGCGCCGGCCGCCCGCCTGCCGGCGCTGCTGGCGCCCGACGCCGCACTCCTGCCCACCCTGCTGGTGGCTGTGCGGTCGCCCCTGGCGCAGGTGGGTCGCGCTGCTGTGGACGACGCTCAGTCGCGCACTCCGTTCGTGACTGGGGTTTGTGTGAACTTTGGAGGTGTTCGCGGTGCTGTTGTTGTGAACGATCGCCCCTTGCGGACGTGGTCTTTGACACGCTTCCTGGAGCATTGATCTCTCCTCGCACTTCTGCGGGCTGTTGCCAGCTGTGTCATGGTGTCGCGTGACTCCTCTGAGAAACTGTATTTCTGCCGACGGTGTCCCCCTCACGACCGTCCGCCGCTGGCCCAGGTCCGCCGGGCGGCGATGGAGTGTGTGGAGAAGGTGTCGGCGGCGAAGGGCGACCAAGGCCAAGCCGGTGCCACTGCTGCCGCTGGCCGGCCGGCTGGTCGCCTACCGCCAGGAGATCATCGCCGACGCCGAGTGAGTCCCCGAGCGGCGACGCTCGGGGGGGGGGGGGGGGGGGCGGGCGTGGCAGGATACGCGAGGTGCCCCACTGTAGTCTGACGTTCACGCCGCGCAGTGCAAGACAGACCCGTGAGCGTCGGGTGACGTCGGCCATGGTGAGGCGGCTGGCCGTGCTGCTGCGCGACGGCTGAAATCCTCGCGGAAGAGCAGCAACGTGACGTCACGCGTAAACGTCACAATGTCATCCGGAGAATGGGTGGTTTGAAGTCGGGTCACTTAGTTTGCGTGCTGTTATAACAAGGAGAACCGGGGCGTCGTGTGCTGGAGCCTTGTGCTGTTTCGCAGAGGCACGATTTCGCAAAATAAGGGAAGGGAGGGACTGAGCACGGAAAGAAATTGTAAGCCTACCTGCAAAATACGCCAAAAATGTACGTCTCCCTGGATTTGGACAACTTTTACGTCATCTTCGCGGAGAAGTGGGGACTACCCCCACTAGACGAATGTGTCGTAATAGTCGCATATACATATATATATATATATATATATATATATATATATATATATATATATATATATATATAATGGTCGTTTCCTCACCATGACGGCACGCTCTCCGACAGAGCCGTGGAGCGCTGCCTGGCCGACGGAGACCGTGACTGGCTGCCGCACCTGGTGGAGGTTGTGGTGTCGGAGGTTGTACCGGACCCGGTGCGCTCGTCGCTGGCCGCCCTGCTTCCTCCCCTGGCGGATCAGGTCAGTCCCGGACGAGCGGCGCGGCGCCCGCTCTGTGTCAGCTCGGGCTCTGAACAGGTGGCCACGCTGGGCGAATCAGCGTATTGACGGGTTGTGTGGTGGTCCGGGCACATGTGGTGCTCCACCTACGTGGCGTCTACTGATATTCCGTATTTAAATTCGCTTCTGCCTGGCCGGTCGTTGGTGTTTTACGTCGACGTTGTCAGTTGTGTGTGATCTCAGGAAGCGTTGTGCACCTGCGTCATTTGATCTTTATTGAACATTCGTGGTCATTCGCATGTGTCATTTGATCTTTATTTGGCATTCGCTGTCATTTGAATGTCATTTGTGGTGCTCGTCATTCGTCTGCGATTTGATACAGCGGCGTTTTGCGAATTGTGCAACGATTGTGATTGCTTTTGTCATTGGGTTATGATGACGATGATTACTGTGGTTATTGTTATTTGTATTATCATTCTTGTTATTATCAGTAGTAGTATTATTGCGAACCTTGGCGAAATCCAGCCGGTGGCTATTCTAACGCCTCGTCAGTACGTATCACATGGATAAACACAGAACACCCAACGCATGCAAATGAGACGCAACGCCAGCGATACACATACGATGTTGTAAAACATGTGCGACTTATGATGCAATCAGCACCTGCACGTCCTGGCCAGTTGGCCAATTTAGGTAAGTTATCTGATGAAAGGCATTGTTTTGTCCTTGAACTCATTTAAGTTAGTAGTTAGTTAAGGGTTTACGGTCTGCTTAAAGCTGAGGGTGCGGAAACGGCCGACAGCGCCGTGCCCCGAACCCCCGACCTCTCGACCCTGACCCGGGCTTGGTGCCTGACGTGCGGCGCCGCGCCCGCAGGCGACACTGCGCCGCTGTGCGCCGCTGCTGTCGGCGCTGCTGTCCGAGTGCGCGGCGGCGGCGGCACCGCTCAGCGCGGCCCGCTCGGCGCTGGTGGCCCGGCTGCTGCGGCTGTTCACCGCCGACACGGCCGGCTGCCTGACCGAGCCGGCCGTGTGGAGCGTGTTCGGGGACGCGCTGGCGGCCGAGGCGGCCGTGCTGGCGCTGCCGGACGGGCCCGTCTCGCCGCAGGTCCTGCTTCTCAGACAGGTCAGTCGGCGGCGCCGGACGACGCGCGCCGTCTCCCGCTCGCGGGGGAGTAGATGGGGCTGCTGAGTCAGGGTAGTCGAGTCTGTTCATGCCTTGGCGGTGTGGTGCTCGTACATGTACGTCGGCAGGGCCCGGTGATTTGTATTTGCTGGCCAGCGGGCGCCAGCCGAAGAGGAGAGAGGTGCGCGGCTGGGCCAGGGTACGCCATTGTGATCAGGGCTTTATGACGTGCTCAGCATCTGAGGCTAGGTAGTGTCGCCTGCCTCTTACCCTGACATGGAGGGCGGCGTCAGTCGAGTCAAAGCCATGAACAGTAAAGCATCGCCCAGCCCGCGTGGGCCAGCTGAAGTCACGCAGTCAGGGTTTTGTCGGAGCCACGATCGCGGGGTGCCAGGTGTCACGGTTATGGAATGGAAGTGAGGGTCAAGTCATGCGATGCCGCGGAGTCGAGTGGTGATGTCAGACCGCGGCGTAGTCCGTTGCCCAGAAAGGTCGGCCTGAAGGTGGTGCCACCGAGGTCCAAGCGGTGGGGAAGGCTCTCAGATTGTCACAGGGCATGCTGGATGTGCATCCTAGCTATCCTTCATGCGCTGCCTGGTACGCATTTCTGTGCGCCCTCAAACCCTATCATCATGAACAGCAGCAGCATCGGCATCTGTATCATCATCGTCGTGAGGTGCTCGTTGCCCTTAACGCTCAGCTCCCCATACATGTGCCATGTTCAAACCTGCAGCGCCGTACCGTCACTCGTGCTGCTGCGGCAGGTGACGCGCCAGCTGTTCTCGGCTCTGGACACGGAGGTCCAGCCGCGCCTGCTCGCCCTGCTGGTGGACCTCTGCACAGACACCAAGCTGTCTGCCGTCTCCTCGCGCGTGCACAAGGTATCCGGCGTGCTTGTGGCTGCGTGAATCTCCGAGAAGGGTTCGCCGCGGCCCCGCCACCAGTGCGGCGGGCATCCGGCTGTCGCGTGTGACGTGGACGTTGGAGCGGACGCTGGTTCTCTCTGAATGTTATGGCGCCAGCCCAGCCTATGAGCCGTGCTAAACATCAGCCATTGATGGGGTCACGGCCTTGCGTTTTGTCGGCTAATTCACTGGGTACTGTCGGCGGAGCCTCTGGCGCCCCGCTCCACCAGCACGACCTCTACTGGATCGCGCCGCGGTCTCGGCCGGCGCGGCGCGCCTCCGCGCCAGGCGCCGCCGCGTGTGCGGCGCTGACCCTGCCGTCCGCCGCAGGTGGTCCGGCGTCTGCCGCTGAGCGCTGAGCTGCTGGTGCAGCAGCTGGGCGAGGACGAGAGCGCCGTGCCCGAACAGAAGACGGTCCGCCAGGCGCGGCCCAGCCGACGCAAGTAAGCGCCACGTCCACACCGGCGCCGTACAGGGGGCTTTGAGTCAAGCCACCAGGTGGTGGGGCTGGGATGGCTGGATGTCCGGAAGCTGGTTTCCTGTCCGTGGCGTTCGTTATTCGCTGGATGCGTCAGCTTGGACGGGCCGTGTGCAGACTGGTTGAAGCGGGAGCGACCGCCCTCACGTGATCACGCGCCCGCAACGGCAGCCGTATCGGTGGACCGCCGCCTGCCCTCCGGACCCGCGCTCCTTGCGACCCCGGCCCGGTCGCCGCCGACGCCTCCGGCGGTGTTTAATCTATCTCCCTCCTTTCCCTCGGCAGGACCGGGCCGGCGGCGGCGGCGGCGGCACCCACGACACCGCCGGCCGCGCCGGACGCCGAGTCGGTGGAGTCGCGGCCGTGGCGGCGGCGCGCCGTGGCGCTGGAGCTGCTGCAGGCGCGCCGCCGGCTGGACGCGCCCGGCCGTCTGCTGGGGCCGCTGTTTGCGCTGCTGCGCCGCCTGCTGCGCCTGGCCGACCAGCCGGCCGCCGAGTACCTGAAGCAGCTGGCGCTGACGTGCCTGCAGCAGACGTGCGAGCGGCTGCGCGACGCCGCCGAGCCGCCGGACGAGCAGCTGCAGACACGCTTCAGCGTCGATACGCTGGTGCAGTGTGTCCGCTCCTCCGACAGCCCGCAGACGCACCAGCTGGCGCTCATCGTGCTCGGCATGGCCGCCACCATGCTGCCGGTGGGTGACGCCATTTTGAGTTGGTGTCGTACTGGGAGTTCGATTGAACGCTGCATGGCGAATTGGGGCTCGTTTTCGAGGCAGTGTAAAAGAAATGAACGAGCTCATAATGATGGATATTTCTTTGTTCAGAGCTTGTGTGGTGTTTGGGGTAAAGGTGTTTTGATCGTGGCTCGTCGAATAGCGTACCGCTCGGTGGCTTGCAAGGAGTCGGCGTGATTCCCGGACAGAATGCTGGTGCGTGGTTTTGAAAGCTAGACAGTGTATCAGCTTACGTCGTCTGCCCTTCACTTTCCCCAGGAGATGGTGCTGCACAACATCATGGCCATCTTCACCTTCATGGGCTCGTCGATGCTGCGGCAGGACAACGAGTACAGCTTCCGCGTGATCGAGAAGACGGTGGAAAGCGTGATCCCGGCGCTTGTGCAGGTCGGTGACCTCGTCTGGGCGGCGGTTGAGTGCGTCGTGTCCAAGCACGCGGCACGACCCTGCCGGTCCGCACCGGAGGGCTGAGGTCGATTCGGCTTTTCTTTCAGCGCGGGACGATGGGGAGAAAATACGAACTTTTGGCGCCGTTGTGTGTTACGCTCACGCCCTGCGCGCATTCCAAACACGTTCAGCACCTCGGGCGGCATCTCCCACCAGCGATCCCATGACCTCTTACGTTGTCGTCCGTGTCAGCTCCGGCGTCGGGCCGCCGGCGGTCACGTGACCCGACGCCTCCCCGCGGCAGGCGTCCGGCCTGGTGGCGGCCGGCGGCGAGGTGGTCGTGCCCGTGCTGCGCGTGTTCGTCGACGCGGTGCGCGACGTGCCGCGCCACCGCCGGCTGCCGCTGTTCGCCCACCTCCTGCGCACCGTCGGCGAGCAGAGCCACCTGTGGGCGTGTCTGGTGATGCTGTCTGACCAGCTCGCCACCAGGGGTGACGTCAAAGACAAGATGGCCGAAGACACCGGTGAGTGACGCCGGCCGGGCAAACTCGCCCACAGTGGCGTTCGCTGCTGACAGCTGCATTCTTCTCGACCTTTTATGGGAAGACATGGACGCTACGTGTGTGCCAGCTTGTTAAGCTGGTATGCCACCTTGTGATGTGACAGATTTGCTTAAATTCCTGTAATGTTCTGATGTATGATGTGATGTATAATGTATTATGTTCTGATAATGTATGATGTTCTGATCATGTATGGTGCTCTCATAATGCATGATTTTCTCAAAAGGTATTTTGTATAGCTCATTTATGCTGACAGCATGCTCATGCTACGCCCGTGTCTCAATCATACGTATATAGCTCATATAACTATAACTCCTATGATGTATAACGTTCTCTTTGTAAATCATCATCTGTCATACTGTTGTGTCCCAATCCAGACGCCTGTGAGTCTCCCTCCCCCTTCCGGCGGATCTCTCCGTCCCCGACACCCGTGTGACGGTGTGGCCCTGACCCGCCGTGACGCCCGCTCGTGCCGCGCCGCCGTCCGGCAGTGACGTAGTGACGTGTGTGCGGATCTCTCCGTCCTCGGCACCCGTGTGACGGTGTGGCCCTGACCCGCCGTGACGCCCGCTCGCGCCCCGCCGCCGTCCGGCAGTGACGGTGACGGGCGACCGGAGCGCCTCGCTGCTGGTGGAGTTCGCCATCAGCCTGTGCAGCGAGTTCTCGCTGGACGTGCAGCTAGTGAGCTGCTCCCGCCTGCTGGAGCACACCGAAACGCTAATGGGCCAGCGGCACGGTCAGTGGCGGGGCCGCCGCGCGGGCGTCCGAGGGGGGGGGGGGGGGCGCGGCTCGGACGGTCCGTCCGTCGACGCTCTTCCCACGTCGAAGCCGCGCCGTCTGGAGCTCTGATAGCCTGAGCGGTTGTATGCGTCGTTCAGCAGCCCAGCGCTGCTTGTGTGGTGGCGGCAGGCCGGCTCTGCACATCAACGTTCTGCATTGCTTGTTGGCATCTATCGAGCGCGATGAACGTTCGCCCTCACCGTTGGACCGCCTGACCCTCGGTCGGCGCCAGCCGTCGCCGTGCAGCGCACCTCGCGACGGTGCACCCTGTCGACCGGGCGTGACCGGCGCGCCGTGAGACCGGCACCGTCCTCGTGCTGACGCCCTCCCCCCACCTCCCCTCCCCGTGTCGCTGCAGAGGTGGGCGACGCGCCGCGGAAGGGGCGCGGCGCGCGGGCGGGCGCGGCGCCGGCCGTCGCCGCCGACCCCGCCCTGTTCGACCTGGACGCGCACACGGACAAGCAGTTCTACAAGTACTGCCACACGGCCGTCAGCCTCATCGCGCAGCTGCTGGCGTCGGAGGCGTTCGTGGCGCAGGTGGGCCGACTGGTGGATCATGCGGGGAGTGGTTAGTAGGTATGGAAACTCTATTTTGATATGAAAACTTGATTACAGCGATAGCTGCTTTCCCCAGCGTGGCATATTCCTTGTGCTAACGCCATGCGTGCAGCCGACGCGTGAGAAGTCGCGGCCGAGCTTACCCGAAGCTGCAGCGCGTCAGCCGTGTCTGACGACGCGGCGCCGGCCGGCAGAGCGCGGCGCTGGATGCGGCGGGTGCGGCGGCGGCGCAGGCGCAGCACCAGCTGCTGCTGGAGCGCAGCGTGCGCCTCATCACGGCCTGCACGCGCCTCTGCCAGACGCAGCTGCGCGGCCGGCCGGACGCCCTGCGCCACGTGCGCGCCATCCTGCACCGGCTGTACGCCCTGCTGGATAAGGTGCGGCCCCCGGCGCCTTGCCGCTGCACCGGCCGCGGGAAGACGCCGTTCGCGGGGAGGCTGCGGCTGGCTGCGTTGAGCTATGTTTCTTGTGTGATCGATGTCAGATGGTTGGTGTGGTTTGGTCAAGATAGGTGGTGACTGGGGCTTGTTTTCGCGGCGCTTTGCCCGGTGCTGGTCGGCTCGTCGTGTCGCACAGGCCGCCAGGTGGCATGCCGGTGTGTCGAGACAAGTTGAACGTCAGGGAAGCCAGTGCCCGCTGTGTGTGACGGCGATCGCGTCAGTCGCTGCTGCTGCTCTGTCCGAGCCTGTGATGTCGGACGCCGCCTGACCGACACAGGATCGCGACAGCCATCCGCGGTGTGGCGACGCCATTGCGGTTATGCCTCCCCCTGCGACGTCGGCCCTGACCGGACCTCCGGTCTGCCGACGCTGCCGCCGGCCACGCGAGCGGCGCTTGGCGCAGAACGTCGCTCGGCCGCGTGTCCGCCTGCCAGCTCACTCCCGCCCCGCACTGGACCCGCTCCCTGACCCCCCGCGTGCGCCGGCTGCAGATCAACTCGCTGCTACCGGCGGCCATGTTCCTGTCGGTGGTGTCGGGCCTGCTGGGCAGCCGGCTGACGGTGGTGCGGCGGCGCGCCATGGAGCTGCTCGCCTCGCGCCTCCAGCTGCAGGCCGACTACTTCAGCGAGGCCGACAGCGACGCCCTCCTGCTGCTCACCGGAGGTGGGCCGCGCCGCTCGCCGGGCAGGGGAGCGAAAGACCCAGAGGTGGCTGCGCCGCCCGCCGGGCAGGGGAACTAGGGACCCAGGGGTAGCCGCGCCGCCCGCCGGGCCGGGGAGCGAAAGACCCAGAGGTGGCTGCGCCGCCCGCCGGGCAGGGGAGCGAAAGACCCAGAGGTGGCTGCGCCGCCCGCCGGGCAGGGGAACTAGAGACCCAGAGGTGGCTGCGCCGCCCGCCGGGCAGGGGAGCGAAAGACCCAGAGGTGGCCGCGCCGCCCGCCGGGCAGGGGAGCGAAAGACCCAGAGGTGGCTGCGCCGCCCGCCGGGCAGGGGAACTAGAGACCCAGAGGTGGCTGCGCCGCCCGCCGGGCAGGGGAGCGAAAGACCCAGAGGTGGCCGCGCCGCCCGCCGGGCAGGGGAGCGAAAGACCCAGAGGTGGCTGCGCCGCCCGCCGGGCAGGGGAACTAGGGACCCAGGGGTAGCCGCGCCGCCCGCCGGGCCGGGCGACAAGGTACCCCGAGGTGGCCGCGCCGCCTGCCGGACAGGGTGACTAAGGACTCTGAGGTGGCCGCGCCGCCCGCCGGGCAGGGCACAAGGGACCCTGAGGTGGCCGCGCCGCCCGCCGGACAGGGGAACTAGGGACCCAGACGTGGGATCGTTACGGGGGCGGAGGCATCGGGGATGCCCCGCTCGCTAGTCGCCGCCAGACTCCGTCGGCCGGCTGCTGGGAGCGGCGTGCGCCAGCGCTCTCACTGCCGGCGCGGTACTCCCCCAGAGCTGGTGACGGCGGCGCAGGCGGGCGCCGAGAACGACGCGGAGGAGGAGGAGGAGGGCGGCTCGGCCCTCAACCGACAGACGGCGCTGTTCGCCCTGAAGCTGCTCTCCCGCCTGCTGGCCGCCCGGCACCCGGCCCACTTCGTGCCGGTCAGTGGCACCGCGAGCTGGCGCTGCCATCTCGCCGGCACGTCTTGCAGCCGGGTCGAGCCGCAGCGCCGAGGTGCCCTGGTCCGCCCGTCACGCCGCGCCGCGTGATCGTGGGCTGGTGGCTCGGCGCGGGCGGTCATCTGGGGTGCTGGAGTGCTGGAGCGCAGCTGGAGTTTGTCGTGACGCGTGACGCCGTACGAGTGTTGACAGGCGCATCTGTCATTGCTTGGATGAATACTTGCCATAATTCTAGGCACCGCGTAACCCAGAGTTAAGATACAGCTCCGATCATTGCTACGTGTCGCGCATCCCGGAGCAGGCGTCAGCTCCCGTCCCCAGTGTAACCTCGGAGCCGGCGCCAGCTCCCGTCCCCAGTGTTGCCCGGAGCCGACACCGGCTCCCGTCCCCAGTGTTACCCCGGAGACGGCACCGGCTCCCGTCCCTAGTGTTATTCCCGGAGCCGGCACCGGCTCCCGTCCCTAGCGTTATCCCCGGAGCCGGCGCCAGCTCCCATCCCCAGTGTTACCTCGGAGCCGGCACCGGCTCCCATCCCTAGTGTTACCCCGGAGCCGATACCGGCTCCCGCCCCCAGTGTTACCCCCAAGATGGCACCGGCTCCCGTCCCTAGTGTTACCCCGGAGCCGGCACCGGCTCCCGTCCCTAGTGTTATCCCCGGAGCCGGCGCCAGCTCCCGTCCCCAGTGTTACCTCGGAGCCGGCACCGGCTCCCATCCTTAGTGTTACCCCGGAGACGGCACCGGCTCCCGTCCCTAGTGTTACCCCCGAGACGGCGCCGGCTCCCGTCCCTGGCGTTACCCCCGGAGCCGGTGCCGGCTCCTGTCCCCAGTGTTACCCCGGAGCCGGCGCCGGCTCCCGTCCCTGACGTTACCCCCGGAGCCGGTGCCGGCTACCGTCCCCAGTGTTACTCCGGAGACGGCACCGGCTGCCGTCCCCTGTGTTACCCTGTCTGGTGACCGGTGCCGGCTGCCGTCCCCTGTGCTACCCTGTCTGGTGACCGGTGCCGGCTGCCGTCCCCTGTGCTACCCTGTTTGGTGACCGGTGCCGGCTGCCGTCCCCTGTGCTACCCTGTCTGGTGACCGGTGCCGGCTGCCGTCCCCTGTGCTACCCTGTCTGGTGACCGGTGCCGGCTGCCGTCCCCTGTGCTACCCTGTCTGGCGACCGGTGCCGGCTGCCGTCCCCTGTGCTACCCTGTCTGGTGACCGGTGCCGGCTGCCGTCCCCTGTGCTACCCTGTTTGGTGACCGATGCCGGCTGCCGTCCCCTGTGCTACCCTGTTTGGTGACCGGCGCCGGCTGCCGTCCCCTGTGCTACCCTGTCTGGTGACCGATGTCGGCTGCTGTCCCCTGTGCTACCCTGTCTGGTGACCGGTGCCGGCTGCCGTCCCCTGTGCTACCCTGTCTGGTGACCGGCGCCGGCTGCCGTCCCCTGTGCTACCCTGTCTGGTGACCGATGTCGGCTGCCGTCCCCTGTGTTACCCTGTCTGGTGACCGGTGCCGGCTGCCGTCCCCTGTGCTACCCTGTCTGGTGACCGGTGCCGGCTGCCGTCCCCTGTGTTACCCTGTCTGGTGACCGGCGCCGGCTGCCGTCCCCTGTGCTACCCTGTCTGGTGACCGATGTCGGCTGCCGTCCCCTGTGCTACCCTGTCTGATGACCGGTGCCGGCTGCCGTCCCCTGTGCTACCCTGTCTGGTGACCGGCGCCGGCTGCCGTCCCCTGTGCTACCCTGTCTGGTGACCGATGTCGGCTGCCGTCCCCTGTGCTACCCTGTCTGGTGACTGGTGCCGGCGCGCCGCCGTCAGGTGCTGCGCGTGGTCTGCGACCTGGCCGGCGACGCGTCGCTGCCGCCGCCGCTGTTCGCCAGCTGCCTGCTGTGCCTGGCCGAGCTGTGCGCCAGCCTACGCGCCCACGCCATCGGACGGCTGCCGGCCACAGCCGCCGCCCTGCTGGCCGCGCTGGAGGACGAGGAACGCCGGAGGTGCGGCGGCGTGACGGCGCGCTGCGACGCCGACGACGCCGCCTCGGGGGTGGCACTGGGGGCGGGGCTGGCAGGATTCGTCTCAAATCTGTGGCAGGACCATTTGCCGGATCTGGCGCGTGACTTCTGCTCTCTTCTCGTGATTTGTAAATTGCTACCAAGAAGATGTGCTCTCGTTGCTGCTAAGTCCATGTTCTGCTTTAAATGGTTTACGTTTACGTTTACGCTTGTAAGCGCAGGTTCATCAGTGCATTTGCGATGTGTGTGGGGATCACTCTCTCGTCTCTTGATCTCGGTGACAGTCGCGAGAGATCCCTCGCCGGCTGCCGTCGCCCGGAGCGCGGTGTCGTCACCGCCGCTGGCGCCCTCCGGCAGTCACGAGCTGGTGCTGGTGTCGGCCGTGACGCTGGCGCAGAAGCTGGTGGAGTCGCTGGCGCACTTCATCTCGCCGTACCTGCCGGCGCTGCTGCGCCACGTGTGTCGGCTGTCGGCGGAGCGCGCGGGCGGCGCTAGCAGCCCGCTGCAGCACCGGCTGCGTCAGACACGGTGGGTGGCCAGCCGACGGTGGCCACGGGCGGGCCCCAGCACCGGCCGGGACTGGAGCCGAACAGGTGCGGCGGTGGAGAGGGGGCGTCGCCGGCGGAGGCCCTCCCCCGATCTCCCCCCTCCCCCCGTCCCCCGGAGCCACCAACGATCTGGTCGTCTGAGTGGTTTGGATGTCGAACTCAGCCAAACCCAGCTCAGCGGTTGACACCTGAGCTGAGCGTTTGTCCAGTAACTTACAGTGTCGTGACATCAGTGTTTTAAGGCACGAGTCTTGCTCAGACAAACGCTCGGAAGGGATTGTTTTGTCTGTGTGTCGATTTGCATCAGTGGTCTGCGTCATCTTGTGGTCTGAATGGATGCAGATTGTCTGAAAGGCTTGTCATCTCTCCGGAATATGTCAGACTGTCGCCAGTAAGATTAAAACTATGCATCCTTGATTGGGCTGAAAAGGTACCTGTTAGTTTGCAACGCTGGTGGACGCATGCATTGGTCGTCTGCTCCTAGCGTCCGTTCAGCCTGAGACCACTAGGTCGGTGACGTGCCGCGGAATCCCTCCTCATCTTTGGCCGCATCACACAGACAGGCGTGCGCCTCCTCACATGCATGCCCGGCTGCTGCGGAGACGGTTCTAGTTTGCTCAGCCTTTTGTTCTTTTATTTTGTTAGGGAGGGGTGGTTTCGAGATATCTTTGTGTACAGTTGGATTCAGGCGCTCCCAGAATCAGTTGATCTCATAGCGAGGGCATGTGGCGGGCATTCAGCACTGAAGAACCTGCCAGCCGCCTTCTCTTCGAAGCGTGTTTTTAGCCATTCCGGTCGCTCGGCGGCGCGAGGCGGCGCGCTGCACGGCTAGAGCCGGCGCAGGCTTCTTCTGAGGCCCCGCTCCCTTTCAAGAGCAGCCCAATCTTTCATCCGCGGCTCGGCGCGTCGGGTGGCGATCTCTCGGGCGATGCCTGGAACTGTTCAAAACAGCGCGCTGCGGGGCATGCCAGTGACTGCCAGGATTCAACTGCTTGGTCATTGCCTGTAAGAATTAGGATATATATATATATATATATATATATATATATATATATATATATATGAAACTGCTCGTTTTAGGTGTGTTTAGTTTCTGATGAGCTGGAAGCAAGCCGAAATGGTTTGTTTGGGAAAAGCGGGTTTACCTCTATTTTGACTCAGACTCAGAGAGAGAGACTCAGGCTCAGAGACTCAGTATTATGTACACATGTGTGTGTGGTGTGGTATGCGCTGTGCCAGTGGTCGCGTGGCACATGTACGGCGCCCGCCCGTCGAGCGGCGACACCGCCCGGCGTCACGTGCGTGCCCTCCTGCTCCGGCAGCCACCACCTGGCGACGGCCGTGCCGGTGCGCGTGCTGGTGCCGGCCGTCGGCCAGTGCTTCCAGCAGCTGACAGCAGATGGCAGCGCCGGCGTCAGCCAGCTGATGGCCCTGCTGGCCGAGTGCGTGGCGGCCGCCGAGCTGACGCAGCTCAACGCCGTGCTGGCCGAGCTACAGCCGCTGTTCCTGCGGTGCGTTCCTACGGCGCGGGCGGACGGCGCCGCGGGAGGGGAGAGGGCGTGCGGCTGAGGGGAGCCAGCGTGGGGAGCAAGCTCTCGCAAGTGGTGGGCCTGCTTCTGAAATGGACGTCAATGAAGTCGAGCTTAACGTGTGTTAACCTGCTATGATTCGTTTTTTGTCCTGTTCTGTACAGATGACGAAGGCCAACACGAGGGGGTCAAGTGAGGGGTCATAGGGGGTCATTTGTTGGGCAGACGGACCGGTGATCAGTGCCGTCACCATTCACCATGTCACCAACCTCCCTTGGTGACAGTGCGTGCAAGGAGCGCTATCCAATGCATTGCGAGAACTGCTGTACGTTCGTGACCCGTTGGTTCCGTCGCCCGCGACAGCAGCAGCTCCCTGAACTCTTCTGCCCGCGGGCTGGTCTCGTCGCTCATCGCCCGCTCAGCCGTGGCTGCTGCTCACCCCCAACCCGCACTGCGCCGCGCGCCCCCGCGGTCCGCCTCTGGCCGCGTGTGCGTCGCCCGGGCCCGGCTCGCCTGACCGTCGCCGTCCGTCGCCAGCGCGCTGGAGCACCGCGGCTCGCCGGCGGCCGGCGCCGACGCGAGCCGTGTCGAGCTCGACGTCATCGGGGCGGTGACGTCACTGGTGCCGCGGCTCTCGGAGACCACGTTCCGGCCGCTGTTCCTGCGCGTGTTCGAGTGGGCGACGCGCGCCGACGCGCCGCCCA